GTTAACAAAATTACTTGTAATTGTTTTTAGTTTCTGTAGGTTTACGGTATGTGGGTATGTATATACATACCTTAACAATTAGCCTTCGTCTAGGAGAAATGTCGTCATGTAATTACAGAAATCCACGACGTTGAGCGCCTGCTTTAATATTTATGATCAATTTTCGAGAGGGAATAGAATCAAGTTAGGGCGAAACGCTTAGCTACTCTGCTATTGATGTATTCTTTGTAATTTAGCACACGAAACCGAAAGACTAAAACCGAAAGGCAAACTTTTTCCTTATAGAGTATATATAGTACACTGGACATCAGAGTTTTTGGCAATGGCATTGGGTCATGAGAGTCTTTGAAAGCATTTGGTTTTGTAGATTCCGACTGTGAAAGTTGTTTTTATGAATCACGGCTGAGAAAGTGTATTTCAAAGTGTGCGAAAAACTTGTTTATTTTTTTAAGTTTGACATTTTTGAATATATTTACACAGACTTTATTTAAACTTAAACTATGGTTTTAGTTTTTATATTAAAAAACATTTATAACAATTATAATTTTCGTTAAACTAAAGTTTGGTTCTAGTGAATAATACTTAAAGCATAATGTGATTTAGAGATAAAATTAATTAAATTTCATTATAATTGTAAGAATACTGAGGTTTCAGCCGCACAGTTTTCTGTTTATATGAAATCTTTTAAGCAATAACTCTAACTCCCATGAGATCATACCCACATATATTTTGCTAAAGTAACTTGTTTATATTTGTGCTGTATATATTCTAAATATATATGTAAATATGATTCATATTTGAGTAAGAAACCATACGAGGTTTGTTCAAAAAGTAACGGAATTTATAGAGTTGTGATGAAGTGTTTTTTTGTTCATTTTACGTTGCCCTCTTTATAACCTTAATGGTAGCTTAACTTCGTCATTTCCTGGGTCTCTTTGTTTTCTGGAACAAGAAAAGTCTAACGTTGATATCCAAGTTAAAAATCGTAGAAACTTTATAGCCGACCTCTCATTATACACTCATAAATATGTATATGATATATATTTGATTATGTATATAAGCTTTAGCTATGAAGTCATAATCAAGTATTTGTTTTATGAACAATCAAGAACTGAACAATTTCTATAGTATTTTAATTTTCATAAGCACCAAATGTTCTATTATATAGAGTAAAAACAGTTGGTAAAGCTAAACGATTATTTGATTCCCATAAAAAAAGAGAGTATTCCATTGAACTTGGCTGTTGCAGCTGATTTTGCCCAAAAGCCTGACATTTAAAAAGCTATTCAGTTAAAGCTGGCGTAACTTTGAATGCGCTTAATTATACCCGAGTATTTGTGTACTTTGAGTGTTTACTGTTGTCAAGGTGCACACGCAAAAGGACAATGCCTAACGCGAAGCAACACATTTCACTGGTCTATCCACATGCCTGGTGTGGACACACGCAAATTAAGGTGTTTACTTATGATTTGTGAATGACAGGGAGACAGGTGAACAATGATGTGTGTGGGTGTGCGAGTGTGTGTGTTTGCTTTTTATTTCCTTGTAATATTTAATAGAAGGTCGTTGACATGGTTAGGCGTTGCCTGCCTGGCTCTCCTTCTCCTTATCTTGTCTAATGAGTTTCCATTCATAAAATCAATATCCGATGTGTGAATAATTAGTTGGGAACGTGAATAAAACGAATTAATTGAAGGCAGCTCCGAGAGGCTACTCAAAATGTCGAATCGAATCGAATTGAAGCGTAAATCAATAGTATAATCCAAATTGGTTTCAAACACAAAGAACTATACAGTGATATATAATTGAAGAATCATGTCAGCATGACAGATCCCAATAGGAATAATCATCCGAATCCGAATCCAAATTCAAATAATACCAATGGCAATCACAAGTCAACCGATAGTGCATCACAAACGGATCCAGCTAGCTGCTCTACGAGAGTCAATCCCGCCTACAATTCCGGCTCCGGTTCCAACAGATTTCAGCTGCCTCCGGCCTGGGCAACGGTGCCGGAGAGATTCCAATCGTGGTGCCAGAGACGCCTGCGCCGGCTGAGAGGCGAAGCCTTGAGGCATACGGCTACCACAGGACCCACAAGTTTTGCACCGGCTGCCGCCACAAATACGAGCGGGGCCGACTCCTACACGATCAACTATGTGACCAGCAGCGGCGACAGTGCCTCCGACGTGGACGGCCCCATTCCTCCACGGCAACTGCCGCGGCAACAGCATAAATGCAAAGCATGCTTGGAGAAAACCAAGCGGTTAATCACGGAGAAATTTTGCCGGAGGAAGCCCAAGTGCAAAGGTGTTTATTTCTTTGACTATTACTATTACGATAACCGTATACCCGAATCTCACCCATCTTATTTAATATCTCACATATCATTTATCATAGTTCATATATCACTTATATACTTATTATTTTAATCGGACTTTTAGCTAGATATTTGATAATTGATGAAGTCAGCAAATCATTGAGATCTCTGATCTAAGGCAACAGTGAAGTGATTTCTTATATCTAAATTGTATTTAAGTTAATCTCGAGCATTTTCTGAATCACTGTATTCGTTTATGTACATACATCAAGCTTTATTTATTCTAGTTTGTAATCTTATCTTAAAGAGCGAGAGAGAAGAGCAATCTGTTTATCTTACAGGCAACTGACATTTGATGCATGTTATATCTTATATATCACGTTTATATGCTAGGGTAGTCTGAAAAGTTTATAATTGTTATCATCAAGATAACTAAGAGGCAGAGCATCCTAGCTGATCATGCAGATCATGAGTATATATACTCCATATATATACATGCTATAAGTCAATACAAAAATATTTATATGCTTGTATAGCTGTCTATATATCAGCACTGTTTACAAGCCAATTTGTGCTTCTCACAATCTTATCTTGAAGCTCAAGGAACATTTTAGCCAATCAACCAATGTGTGTACATCTATATGAGTATATATGTATCATTATTTAGCTAATATGTGTTATATGACCACTGCAATTCGAATACTTACATTTATGGGGCCGGCCCATTTGACTGTAAATCGTTATTGTTCCCTTGCGGTTGTGAAATGCACTCAAGGGAAGTTACTTTAGTTAGGTATCCAAATATAAAATGAATTTCAAATTAAGGTGCTCATTTAGCGAGATATCCTGTAAAAGCTGCGTTGAATTTCAATTTGGATATAGTATATACTAGAATATATACCAAGTATAGTGTAGTTTATATATACAATAAATATTATATATATGGTATAAACATAGTATATAGTTATAATATAAAATTAGTTCTAAGACTTGCCCTAGAATTTATAATTGAATTGTGCAATTCCTTATATTAAAATATTATTTATATATAATTGATTCCTAAACTTAGAAGTTTGAATATGATGTATAGTATTATATTTTATATTTCTTATAAATGATATTGGTTTATGTTAAGCCATTCGTTGCTTAGATATATAAGGTGGCTGTCTCTCTGGTATACCCCACGTATACATCATATATGGGCTTTCTCTATTGATGTTCGCGCTTAGCATAAGCCATATTTCAATGGGCCTGCGACACACTGCCCAAAGGACACAAATCAGAGCGTTGAAATCGCCATTACGTCTCTGCCGATGCCGCCGTCTTCGTCTCCGTCTCCCTCTCTGCCTCTGCCACCGCCGCTGTTTGAGCCCTCACCCCTTTCCCCTGCATTTGCCGCTCGCTCTGCTTTCGGTTTGCCTGAGTGCCTGGCGAAATTTGCTCATTATGGCCCACCTGGGCCAATTCGAGCGGCAGAGCAGCTGAAGTTTGGGAACGCCACCCAGTGGCAGCGGCAACGAGGCTCGCTCTCTCGCCTTGTATTCAGTCGGACAGTCAAGCTGCCAGAGCGAACAACACGCAGCACGCAACAAACAACAAAACAGACGCAAAAGACGACAGACAAGAAAAAACTGGGGCAACAATTTGTTTGTTGTTAATATTCGAAATGTGTTGAAAAGTTTGGGTTTTTGGACAAGAGTTTTGGTTGTGCTTTTTGTTTAAGCCGTGAAGCGGTATTCAAGTGCAACAAATTGTGGCACCACGTCGTTTACTACCGTGTGCATCACGTGGCACTCAGCTGCGTTCAATGTGTGACAAATCGATAATGCGCACTTTTTGACGCACTTTGATAAAAGTGTTTCTAGATATTGCTCAACATTCAGTCCAGACTTAAAGCTACTTGCTGATTAGTGCCAGATATATAAAGATATATGCTTGTATATATATGTATATAGCATATCGTATCTATATATGTGTATAAATTATTCATGTCGTTGCCGAAATGTCAAAGTTGAAACGAGTTGGACGAAATGTGGCCGAAATCGAGAGCGCAAGCGCTGGCTCCGGCTTCGTGAAGCTATTGCAACGCCCATTGGCCACGCCCACTTGTGGCTTATCAACAGCAGTGGGAGCCGAGTAGAGCCTGCCAAACGTACAACCTGGAGGGCATACTGAGAGGAAAGTCAAACAACAGCAGGGAGAGCATCGCCTTTCAGGCGGTCGGCTCGGGCATCGAGGAGCGCTACGCGGCAGATGGAACGGATCAGGAGTCCATAGAGACGGCCGCAACGGAACTGATTGGCGACCTCAACGACGATTCGAATCGCATTCTAAAGCTGACCAAACGTCCAATTCGACGACGCAGACTATCGTACAGGCCGTGCAGCAGACGCTGGGGCAGAATGAACTTTCGCAATGTCTATAGGGCGTTGCGTATACGTTGGAGTCGTAAGTTGAGCGTGAGATCTATTATAAACAAAAGGGTATACAAATGGAGAGAAGGGATTTCAAGTTAAGATAGAGTATTGTGGTCGGGCAACTAAATTTTAATAACCAAATTCTTATAAAATGTCGGAATATAGCTGGAAAAGTGTATTTTCCTCACTTTACTCACCAAATAGAAGTCTTCTATTGTATTTTAAATGTACATACTTAAGGTGTAGTAGCCTTATGAAGCTAGTTCTATGTAGCTTCATAATCCGTTAACAAAATTCCAAATTCAGAATGTACGTCACCTGCCCCGAAGTTCCGCCGATCGTTGAGCTGGGCATGCTGATGAAGAAGCACAGGATCATACCAGACGTCGTCACCTGCAGGCCCGAGTATGTCATCAAGGTATCGTATTGTTGCGATGTCTCAGTCTCGCCTGGCTGCCATCTGACGCCGTATGAAGTGCGATTAGAGCCCATCATTCGCTGGATGTCCGATCCATGCAAGTTCTACACGCTGGCCATGGTCGATCCGGATGCACCAAGCCGTGCCAAGCCCATCTATCGCGAATGGCTGCATTGGCTCGTCGGCAATATACCCGGCTGCAATGTGGCCCTTGGCCAGAAGCTGGTGGACTATAGGGGCAGTCGTCCGCCCCCAGAGACGGGCCAACATCGTTACGTATTCGTGGCCTTCAAGCAGCTCTGCGAACTGGACTTTGACGAAACTTGCATATCGCAGGATACCATCGAGGGCAGGCCGTGCTTCAGCCTCCGGCGATTTGCCAAAAAGTATGCCCTAGGCAATCCCATAGCACTCAATTTTTTCATTGCCAATTTTGAAAATGATTTGGATTGAGTTTGTTTATTACTTTATTACTGTGTTTGCAAAGGTGACAATAAAAACCGGATTTATATGAAACGTTGACCTAGAAATCGTTGTAGGGATTGATAGATGATTCTGTTACAGTAAACATTGATGATTGATTGAATGATAAACTGTATCAAATGTAACAATTGACCCCTGATAATCAATACGATAGACTAAGCAAGTATTATTTATATACTAATTTTCGTTTAAATTGCGAACCTATTTTCTTACAGATGATGACGAAGAGCCACCAAACTTTGGCAGTTACGACTCGACTGACGACGATAAGCGCATCATAACGCTGAATGGGCCGCAGCCAACAAAATATTGCAATAACCGAATATCAACGGCTAAATATAAGTGAGTAGTTCTAATGGGCATCGATTATCAGAAGTAATGCCCGTGCGCAAGCATTTGCCTATGAGCTATTTAAATGTCATGGCTTACTCTGATAAGATATGATCTAAATAGATGTATGGGGTAGACTAATTGATTAATAAATGCCTCTTTTTCCATTTTCCATTTGCACAGTGTCCTCACCTTTATACCGTCGTTTCTCTTTGAGCAATTTCGACGATATTCCAATATATTTTTCCTGCTAATTGCATTATTACAACAAATTCCGGATGTATCGCCAACGGGTCGCTACACCACACTGGTGCCACTCGTATTTATACTGTCAGTGAGCGCCATTAAGGAAATTATTGAGGATGTGGTAAGTAATCAAATATGATTATCGATTTTATATATGATGTACAACATATAAATATTTAATATCCTTACAGAAACGACATCGCGCTGATAACGAAATCAATCATCGTCTGATTGAACGGCTGGAAAATGGCACTTGGACCACTGTGCGCTGGTCCGAGCTGACAGTTGGTGATATTATAAAGGTGGTCATCGATACATTCTTTCCTGCCGACCTAATATTACTATCGTCTAGGTGAGTAGCCAGTTGGATATGAGAAAAAATGATCTTATACTGAACTATCTGTCGATTTCTTTGCAGTGAACCGCAGGGTATGTGTTTCATTGAAACTGCAAATCTGGATGGCGAGACAAACCTGAAGATTCGCCAAGGCATGCCCTCGACGGCCAAGCTATTGGACACCAAAGACTTGACGCAATTGCAGGGCAAAATCGAGTGTGAGCTGCCGAATCGGCTGCTATACGAGTTCAATGGCGTCCTCAAGGAGTTTGGCAGACCGTAAGTAATTCAGTTCCGTTCATGATCTTTAATTTCATATTCAAATCGTTTTCCAGTGCGGTTCCATTGGGCAACGATCAGGTGCTGCAGCGTGGCGCCATGCTCAGGAATACGGCTTGGATATTTGGCGTCGTCATCTACTCTGGACATGAAACGAAACTGATGAAGAACTCAACGTCGGCGCCGCTGAAGCGTTCGACTGTTGATAAGCTGACCAATACACAGATCTTGATGCTGTTCATGATATTGATCTCACTCTGCATAACGAGTGGGCTGTGCAATTTGTTTTGGACGCAAAAACATTCCCCAACTGATTGGTATCTGGGCATCGGAGACTTCAAGAGCTTGAGCCTCGGCTACAATCTGCTGACCTTCTTTATTTTGTACAACAATTTGATACCCATCTCGTTGCAAGTGACACTGGAGCTGGTGCGGTTCCTGCAGGCGATCTTCATTAACTATGACATCGAGATGTACCACGCGGAGTCGAATATGCCAGCCAGTGCGCGCACATCGAATCTTAACGAGGAGCTGGGCCTGATCAAGTACATATTCTCGGATAAGACGGGCACATTGACCCGCAATGTGATGGAGTTCAAGAAATGCTCCATAGCCAAGCGCATTTATCAAACGGAACGCACGCCCGAGGAATCGGAGCTGGTGCAGAATATATTGCGTAGGCACGAGTCCTCCAGGGATATTGAGGAGTTTCTAGTCTTGTTATCTGTGTGCCATACGGTTATACCAGAGAAGAAGGAGGATGGCACCATTATATACCATGCCGCAAGTCCGGACGAACGAGCTTTGGTCGATGGAGCTCGCAGGTTTGGCTACATTTTTGACACACGCACCCCCGAATATGTGGAGATAAATGCATTGGGCAAGCGCATGCGTTTCGAAGTGCTGAATGTCCTTGAGTTCACGTCGCAAAGGAAACGTATGTCGGTCATTGTACGCACGCCCGAGGGCAAAATAAAGCTCTTCACCAAGGGAGCCGATTCGGTCATATACGAGCGTCTCTCTCCGCGGGATCAAGCGTATCGTGAGGCCACGTTGCAGCATTTAGAGGAGTTCGCCTCGGAAGGTTTGCGTACACTCTGTCTGGCCGTGGCGGATATCGATCCCGAGGTCTACGAGGAATGGACTCACACACATCACAAGGCATCGATCGCCTTGCAGTACAGGGAGAGCAAGCTGGAGGACTCGTCCAATCTGATCGAGACCAATTTGCGGCTGCTGGGCGCAACGGCTATTGAGGATAAGCTACAGGATGGCGTGCCAGAAACAATCGATGCTCTGCTCCAGGCTGGAATATACATTTGGGTGCTGACAGGCGATAAGCAGGAGACGGCCATTAACATTGGCTACTCCTGCAAGCTAATATCGAACACGATGGACATCCTCATACTTAATGAGGGCAGCTTGGATGTAAGTTAGAGATCCGACTAGCTATGCTATTAACTGTATTTGTTATTAATCTCAACGTTCCTTTGCAGGCCACTCGTGATGCTGTGCTGCGGCATGTGGGCGAGTTCAAGAGCTCCTCGACCAAGGATGCCAATGTGGCGCTCGTCATCGATGGCAAGACCCTGAAGTATGCCCTGACCTGCGATCTGCGTGGCGATTTCCAGGAGCTCTGCCTCATGTGTCGCGTGGTCATCTGTTGCCGCGTTTCACCCATCCAAAAGGCCGAGGTCGTTGATATGGTGACCCAGAGTACCAAGGCCGTGACCTTGGCTATTGGCGATGGAGCCAACGATGTGGCTATGATTCAGAAGGCAAGCGTGGGCATTGGCATATCGGGCGTTGAGGGCCTGCAAGCGGCCTGCGCCTCTGACTATTCAATAGCCCAGTTTCGATTTTTGCGCCGCCTCATACTCGTCCACGGCGCCTGGAATTATGCGCGTATCAGCAAACTGATCCTCTACAGTTTCTATAAAAATGTGTGCTTGTATGTGATTGAGCTCTGGTTCGCCCTCTACTCGGGCTGGTCTGGTCAAATTCTGTTCGAACGCTGGACCATTGGCCTCTACAACGTTGTATTTACGGCCATGCCCCCATTCGCAATTGGACTGTTTGAGAAGTTCTGTACGGCAGACACAATGCTTAGGTACCCGCTGCTCTATAAACCCTCGCAGAATGCGAAACTCTTCAATGTGCGCGTCTTTTGGATTTGGATCTTCAATGCGTTGCTGCACTCGGTGTTTCTCTTCTGGCTGCCACTGTGCGCCTTCGAGTCGGAATCCATTTGGTCGGACGGCAAAACGAGCGACTATCTGCTGCTTGGCAATATGGTTTACACGGTGAGTTACATCAGGATGACAGAAGAGTTTGGATGGGAGAGGAGAAAAGATAAGATAAAAGTAAATGAAGTCGAGTCTACTTGCCAGAGATAGAGAGAGAGAGAGAGAGAGAGAGAGAGAGAGAGAGAGAGATCATCATTATATTATTATTATTTGTAGACATTGCGAAACAATTAAGAACGAACTATACAGTATAATGAGTTAGGACACTTTATCCATATCTATATTGATCTATATATATACATTTGCTAACTATCTTTCTTTCTTTTCAGTATGTAATTGTTACAGTTTGTTTGAAGGCCGGCCTTATTACCAGCTCGTGGACCTGGCTAACGCATGCCGCCATTTGGGGTTCGATACTGCTCTGGTTTTTGTTTGTGGTTATCTATAGTCATATCTGGCCATCGCTGAGCTTTGCGAGCAATTTCGCTGGAATGGACAGTCAGCTGCTGTCGACGCCTGTGTTTTGGTTCGCTTTGGTTCTAGTGCCCATTGCCAGTCTGCTGATCGATGTCATCTGCAAGCTGTACGTTTAAATATATATAATTAATTATTATATATGTATTTAATATATATATTTACTTGCTTTCAGTGTGCATAATACCGTTTTCAAAACCCTGACGGATGCTGTGCGGGAGCAGGAGATACAGCGCAATGATCCCTCGCAGGTGATGGAAGAGTCGCGCTCCTCGTAAGTATTCCATTAAAAGACAGAGCGAGCCAAACTCTTCTATATATATACATATATATCTACACTATGTATTTTGCATTATTTCTGGGTTTATTTTCCTATACAATTGGTTAAACTATTTATCTGGCCAAAAGACTAAAAAAAAAAAAAAAAAATACCAAAAAAAAAGCTACTACATTTTCAATTTGAATTGTTGCGCATCTTAAGTAGAGTTAGTTATGTTCTTATTTTCTTATTTTCCTGTTAAGCAGGGATCGTCTATACAGTTGCCTATATAATTTGCAATTCGTTTCGATCCGTGCTTGATATTTGCATTTTTGGTTTCGTTTTTTGTATTGTATTTTGCACCACCTTGTGATACGTCCTTTACTTAAGCAGTTAGTTTATTTTGCATTTAATTAGTTACACACTTTAATTAATCTAGTAGTCACCTATTGTCTAACTGTTTAGCTCCTAGTTTAAACAAAATTCAAATTAACTCTTTAGCAAGTTCTATAATTGATTTACTTAACAAACCACACGAAAGTTTGGATCTAACTAAACTTATCTAATATATGTATATACGAAACAGAAAAACAAACAGGTTTACATACAATAAAAGTTCTTTTTGACTTTTCACAAAGTAAAAACAAATTTATGTTCAAATTGAAGCAAGTATTTGTTCTAGTCAGAACACCTTTTGCACCCGTTTACAGGGTATACAGCCATCATATTTCTATAACTAAGTATTAGTTCTTGTACACAAAGAAACAACACAGCACAGGGTATTCAATAGTCGACTAAACTACAAGTAGCTTCTTGTTAGTAACGAAGAAACACAAAACATATTTGCATATTTATTGTATTATTGGATAAACATATATATAAATATATTTATTTATATGTGTATATATATTGTAGCGAAAATTGCTTGAAATTGAAATTACGTATTTATTTAGTCATGAATTCAAATTGTGTGTATTTTAATTTAGTAGCAAAATATGCATTAAAAAAAATATATAAAACAACTGAGAATATTATAGTCGGCTGCAATCGACTGCATAATACTCGTTCACGCTATGAATAATCTTAAATTGATTTATTTATTTAATATGAATAGTTTTCTGATGTATTCTAGTTCCAAAGTGTGGAATATATAGAGTTTTCCGAAATATCCCAGTGCCAATGGGCGTATTGTCCTATATATATGAAAAATCTCTAGCTAGAATGCAATGCATGAAAATATATTATGTTGGATATATAGAGCTTCCCAAAGCTGAGCTGATAAGCTTTGGGTTTACCCCTTAGCTTACCCAACTAAGAATAGGTGTACCTTTTCTCCTTTCGTCCTGTCTGATTTGATAGCAAAAATACTTCAACAGAAAAAATTGTCAATCTCTATTAACATTGCGTGAACTTGTATCCAAAGTAAATCGAGACACAATTCAAGTTTATTAGCGGGCAAAATTGCAAATATTTATAGATATATCGAGTTAACTATTGTAATATTATTTACCTTATTAGCAACAATCAAATTTGAAATTAAAAACAAACAAAAAAGAAAAAGCAAAGACAACAAATGTAATTCTCTCTATCCTCTATCCTCTATTAACACACACAACATCCATACACACCCACACCCATACCTACGCAATGTTCGATCTGTAACAAATTTGTCAATTTATCCATATTCATTGTTAACAAATCCCAAATTCCCTCATGCCAAATCCACAAAAATTGTGTTCGACTACGATTAAAAAACAAAAAAGGGAAATTCGTTTTAAGCATGATTTGGACAAGAGATCGAGCGCCAAAAAGGAGAAGGCCAGGATGCGCGACTACCATTCAGGACACAGCATAGAGTTTTCCGGTCGTCGTCTGCGTGTCGAGCATTTGGATTTCGATGAAGATCTGGATGCCATAAATCAGCAACGGGAATACCATAGACGTCGGCACCGCTGGCAGGGCAGCGAGATTCTGCACATGTAGCTAAAGCGAGCTGCGAAGAGAGCAAGTTCTATTGTCGCTATATACCCTATACATATGTATATAATATTTATGTTTTAAATGTCGTCAATTGAAATAAATTATTTATATAAATGCTATAGAGTAAGTGCTCATCAAATTGATAGATAGAAATCTATGTGTGTATATATATATATATATATGCTCAGGGCATTTCAAGCCATATCCATTATATATCAATCAGTCAGTCAATAATAAAGAAAACTGTAGTATTCATACAAATATACATATATACATATACATATATTTAGAGGATCATCTCTGTACAGATGCAAGTCTTAAAATTGATCCAACTGTGATACTGATTACTCTAGCTAAATCAATGTTTTCATAGAGTTGCAATTTTATTTCATATTACACGTTGTTCATATCTTAAGTCAATTGTACCACGCATACCTAGAAAGTGAAATGAATGAGACGAACGCATTCCATAAACTAAAACGAAACCAACGTCTAAATGAATGTACAAAAGAAGTAGAAAACTTGAGTGTAAAACAGTTAACAAGATATTTAATTTAAGCTCAATTCTATTCCAGTCTCAATTGTTGTTGTTAGGCCCTGAACCCTTAGACAATGAGTAGAGTGGGTATATTGCTTTACTATAGCTAAATGTAACAGATGTGGTTAACTTTATAAAGTATATATATATTTTTGACTAGTACTAACTAACGAGCTAAGATAGAATTGTGCGTCTGTCTGTCTAAATATATAATTGTTGTAGTATATTCCTTAATAATAATTGAGAGTTAAATTTACTTTAATTAAATACACTTATCTTATTCTACAAATCAAGCACAGCTTCTATATGCATTTCTATATTAAACTAAAACCAGGATTCTTTGCATTGGGAGCTCGTCAAATGGTTCAGGGTATTTACTAGTCGAACACTGCCGACTAGAGCAATCATATTTGTTTTTCAATATTGTTAATTTGTGAAATATTTAAAAATATATACATACATATATATATATTGTTTTTAAAATATACTTTAGTATCTTAAGTAAATCTGTATGCCATCCTCTCTAACCTACCTATGCAATTAATAACTGTTTATTAAACCCAAAGATATTCCAATCAGAAAATCAATTAAAAATCGTATAGTCGAATAAAGCTAAAGTTAACAAAGCGCAAAATTTCTAAACTGTCTTCAAGCCTGTGTCCGTATGTTAAATAGCAACTAAATAAAATATATATTTATTTACATATATGTGTGTACGTCAAATATATGTTTATGTAAACCAAAATAGAAGCTGATGTCTTAGTTTTCCATCAACTTGCATGCAATTTACTAATAATAAATATCCTACAATGTTTTTGAGTCCCACTAACAGAACAAAACAGTTTGGCACCAAATTTGATACCAACCAAAAAAATAACTAAAACAACAACAACAAAAATGAAGAACAAAATGTTGGAAATCTTTTGCACAATTCTTGATTTATTTTCTATATTTTTCACAAAAAGCAATTTATTTATTTTGCATTATATAAAATAAAATCTATGCAGTCTATATGAATATGTATTTTAAACAAATTTTCATCAATATACTATATATATATATTTTCTTGTGTGTGTGTGCTTGTATGTGTATGTGCGCAGTACTATGTATGCCTTGGGATCTATTATTCGGTGTAAGTAATACATGAAACAAATGTAAATTTCAGACTAACAAAATATCAAATATATAAATGTACACATATTGCGAGGGTAGTTCAAAAAGTTGCCGAATTTAATGGGAAATCAAAGGAAATTGGAAAACCTCTTAAAACGTTTGAAAGCTTTGCAAATTAACTTGAGTTTGCGAACTTGTCCGACTACCCTCGTATAAATAATATTTCATTAAAATCCAAACTCCTCAATCATTTATCATATACAGTCACAAAACATCCATTCATGCGAATAGGCCTCTAAAACAACTTTTGCAATTAGTCAGTATCTACTAGATAGTGTTAGGCAAATAGTAAAACCAAAAAAACAAAAAAAAAAACACAGCACAGATTTTTTGTAAAATATACAAATAAATATCTAATATATACCTATCTCAAGGTTGCTTTCGCATTGCATGTTTCTGTTCTCAAAAATATTTCTTCCTTGGTTAAGTAATATTGAAGAAACATAATTATTTCCTAAAAAATTTTGCATGCTCCATAAAAAATTTTTATTGCTCTCCAACAGCCGCTCACCTTTCTTTTTTTTTTTAACTGTCTGTAGATGCTAACAATTCAAAATGAATAAATGTTGTACCTTAAAAAAAAAAAAATTGGTGAAAAGGCAGAAATTTAATAACTTTTGCTAAACCACAAAAAATCCCAAAAATAATTCTTAAACCTTTTATGTTTGGTTTCAATCAAAAAAATATATATTAAAAAGTAAAAGTGATATATTCCATTATAAAAAATCCAATCCCCCGAAAAAAAAAACAATTAATTCTACAGATTTACTGAAACGGCGAGATTGCTACGAAATGTTTTCACCCGTCGTGCCAACACAAGAGTCGAAACGGAACTAGAATTATCGCGTGAGTACAAACCATATACCGAATCAGATTCAACGAATGTCCCCGACGTGCTATTAGTGCAGGCCAAACAGGGTTTGGGCAGTACTTCATTTTTAAATGGGCTAGTTAACATATACATATACAGACAGTTAGTATATAGCAGTATATACCTGTGTATATAGCCATGGTTATCAGCTGTAGTGAATCGGTCCATAAAGAAAAATGATATTTGAATTTATTTGTGCACTTCATCCACACGTTCATTAAAAACAAAATACCCTTTCCCCATCCCATACACGAATGACATTTAATTACCAATCTGATATATCTATATAACATGTTTATACATTTCTTTTTCAACCAGATGGCTATGCATTTTCGCAAGAGGAAGGCGGTGCTGTACCGCAATCTATTGTCATACGGGCATATGACACGAATTTGCCCAAGCCAGAGGGCAATTGAAAAGCGGAAACGGAAGAGCGGTATATATACATATGTATGCATACATACATATATGCAGCAGCTATTGTATTTATGGCTATGAAACACCTTAAACTTACAGCAGCTATTGTGTGTAAAAGGGCCAAAGAATAAAAACTTTTAGAGTAATTAATAAAAATAAAAAGAGAAAATTAACAAAACAAAAAAGAAATGAAATAAAATTTTAAAGGAAATACTTTTGTGAACAAACACATATACACACATTTTTTCTGGTATTAATTCAACAAAGATATTCTAAATGTGTCTTACATTACTAATATTTTTATTTATATATGTGCTGCATATGGTAATTTCATTGTGTATTTGTATCCTAACTGTTAATTATTTTATAAGCCACTTAAATAAAGCCGTTAGAAGCATTTTGATTCTTTGTACATATGAAAAATACCTGTTTGAATATATTTTGTACTTGGGTTTAAAATATTGGTCATCGGATTAATTCAAAATGTTTTCGATAATATTGATAAATCGAGCTATCGTTTCAACGATATGTGAATGCATCGATAGCACGAACCGATATATATTTAAAAAGTTCAAAATAGTTGGCAGACAAAATTTGTCATTTTAATTTATGAAATTGTCAGATATAGAGATTTGTTTACTTATAGCAGTGCTTATAGTTATCAGCCGAAATTTGCTTTCTTGATAAACTATTGCCACTAAGCTATTGCCACATCGATACATGCACGACCAAATGAACTAGTGTTGAACTAATTAGATATTGGTAATCGCAAATATGTTTAGTGTTTATTGCAGCCCTGAAGAGCGACGCGGCTTTCCATTTGCGCTCGCATACTTCTGTTGCATTTTCTCCAGTTTATTTCATTAGTATAACAAAGATAAATAAATAAAAACAGCGCCATGGATGATATATTAAGTCCAGGATTTTCAATTCCCAGCATTGGCCATGCACCGACGCCGCTGCATCACAGTCTGGATGCCGATCAACAAATCGAAGCATTACCACATCAAGTTTATCATCCACCCGCACCAGAGCCAACAACAGCGGCGGCCACAGCGCAGCAGCAGCAACAACAGACAGACAATGGAACGGGCGTGCCCGATGGCAGCAGTGGCAGCGGTTTGTTTGGGCACGAACCGTCCATGCCACTTGCCCACAAACAAATGCAAAGCTATCAGCCTTCTGCCTCCTACCAACAACAACAACAACAGCAGAGCAGCAACACAGGCGGCAGCACTCCCCAATCTCTAATGCAGCCGCAGACGCCGCAGAGCATGATGTCCCACATGATGCCAATGACAGAGCGAAGTGCACCCGGAGATTCATCGCTGAGTAACATTCACCAGACAATGGGCCCGTCAACACCCATGACCCCTGCCACACCTGGTTCCGCCGATCCGGGCATTGTGCCACAGCTGCAGAATATAGTGTCCACTGTTAATCTATGCTGCAAATTGGACTTAAAGAGAATTGCTCTGCACGCACGTAATGCCGAGTATAATCCAAAGCGTTTTGCGGCCGTAATTATGCGCATCCGAGAGCCGCGGACCACGGCCCTGATCTTCAGCTCCGGCAAAATGGTTTGCACTGGGGCCAAGAGCGAGGATGACTCGCGACTGGCAGCTCGCAAGTATGCGCGCATCATACAGAAGCTGGGCTTTCCGGTAAGTCTCAATTGCCAGATAACCCCACGGGGGAGTTTATCGGACAATGCATTCTAGAATAATCTTATTGTCTTTCATTCGCAGGCTAAATTCCTTGACTTTAAGATACAAAATATGGTTGGATCGTGCGATGTGAAGTTTCCCATCCGACTGGAGGGCCTTGTTCTAACGCATTGCAACTTCAGCAGCTACGAACCGGAGCTGTTTCCCGGTCTCATTTATCGAATGGTGCGCCCACGTATTGTTCTACTAATCTTCGTCTCAGGCAAGGTGGTGCTGACTGGCGCCAAGGTGCGACAGGAGATCTACGATGCATTCGATAAGATATTTCCTATATTGAAGAAGTTCAAGAAGCAGTCGTAGATTCTCTTGTAGGCTAAAAACTCTTAAAGTTGACTAATTTTAGATTGAAATAAGGTTGCAAATAAATACTGTATTTAGTTGATAAATGTCGTTGCCTGGATTTTATTGGCATGTCGAGCATCACTTAACCGATGTAAACCTTAATTAGCTTAGATACATTGTGCCATCAGTGCACCCACATTCTCGAATTCGATCTTTTCCGTAATATTCTTCGTCTTGATTTTGTCGTCCTGGGTGGCTACGACCACAAGCTCCTGTCCCTGATGTTTCCAGCCGTTGCGCTTGATCCAACTCTCCAGTGTGGAGTCTTCAATGCCGCCCAACAGCTCCTTCAGCAAATCCTTCTTGATTGTCTGGAACGTGATGCCCACCACATGGGAAACGAATTTGCGTATGGAATCATGGAAGCCGCTAATGTGACGGAACATCGTGCGATTGACTTCAGCGCGTTGCCAGAACAATGTGAAATCGGCACGTTCCAATATATCAGCCAAGTCTATAATTGTCTGCACATTCTCGTCCTTCATCTGCTGCGGCAGCAACAGACATTTGGCCATCACAAAGTCCGTGTGCGGCAAGTTCGTCAAGCACTTTAGTAGAATTGTGTAGGTGATATCGAAGTTGAGCATGTGAGGGTTGAATTGATACAGCTTGAGCACGGCTAGATTTGCTTCCAAATCATAGGTGTTATTCTTGGCCTGGTCCTGAACATACGATTCGAGTATCTTTAAATGGTCCGGATTGTAGCTGGGAACAACAAATGAAACGAGGTTATGTTAAGTATGTATATTTGTTTATGAGAACCGACAAAAACCGCTTACCGCTCAATGCAGCCCAACATTTCCTGTATGGTCTGGCTTTGGCCATTTTCCATTTTCACCAAGTGTGACATTTTGTAATTTATTTGCAAAAGAAATAGATGAAATTATATTCGCGTGGCGATGCTAAAATTTATTTTTTAGACAGGGCTGTATTGAACAGCTCCGAACAAGTTCGATAGAACTACTGACTCACATGAGCTAACGAAACTTATAGCTGCCCTGGCATTATAACTAAACAAAAAAGCAGGCAAGCAAGCAGTGCGTTGTGTTTTAGAAGCAGCAACAATATAAAATTTGCCCATATAAAGCCAAGCAGTGTTCATAAGTCGAGATTAAAGAATACAAATTTCAGGGTACAACTTACCTATTTGAAAGTGATCTTTAAGAGGACATAAGCAAGTGACAAGGGAGACATTTAAGTTGTCTATATGTATGCAGCTGTAAGTATTTAGTATTAATATTTGAGTAAAACGAAGCTAGAAGGCTTTCAGCAGCAGAGCGTGTTCCTTTTGGTCACTTAAAGCTCGACTGCAATGAGCCTACCGGCAGAGATTTAAGCGCGAGCAGGTGTCTGAGTGAAAGTCGCCCTATATAAAGGTTAGCAGCTACATCATTTCTTCAGTTGTCCAGGCCTGGTGGGGGTCAGTTGTGCAGTGCGTCGTGTAGTAAAGTGAAGTTAAAGGTGTTAGCGTTCAGCAAAGCATTAAGGGCTTAGAGAAAATACTTGTAGGAAAGACAGAAGAAATACTTGGAAAAAACAGTAGAAGAGAACCAAAGAAATACTTAGAGGAAATATGTATTCCATCCAAATTTAATGCAATGCCTAATTCATTTTAATTAGTAATAAAATTATGTTTTATTAATCCCAATTTGTTATTGGTCTATATGTAAGGTCACTTATTTGCAAAAGTTTATATAAATTTTTATTTATGCATATATATATATGCATGTATATATATGTATATGTACATGTGGAAGTGAATTTCGAATTTTCTTCTTCGGATTTACGCCATTTTAAAATGGAAGTTTCACTTATTTTGTCTTGGAAGTTAAAAAACGATTTTGTTTTAATCCAATTGGAGTATACGTTGCCATCTTAAAGTATATTTATCGATTGGTATGTTTTTTCCAATTAGATTACCCACTGCCATCTCACTTTGTATTGGAAGTTTGATTGGAAGTGTATGGGTATGTAGTATGTGGAAGCTTTCTTTTCCATTGTATATTTAGAGACGTTTATGTCTTTGCCGCCTCTGCATCGGCTCGCACCGCAGCGGCCGCTATATCGGCCTGACGCTGTTCCTCCTCCAATTCTAAGCGTTCCACCTTTTTGATCTTGCTCAGTTTCTCTGAAAAATACAATATGTAGACATATGTTTATCAATAAATGGTTTTGGTTTAATCTAACTTACTTGCACACTTTAACATGATGGTGCCCCACCAAATGGACCATCCCCAGCCCACAAAGCAGAAGAGCACACAGAAAAACTGAGATACAGCCACAATAATATTAATGATAAAAGATCCAATGCGTGCGCGCGCACTGTCGAATTGCGAGAAACGTGGAATGCCAACGCAAAGGCAGAATAGACCAGAGAGCAGAGTGCCTATGGGAAATTTTGCATATCAAATAATTTTCTGGTTATGATCAGTAGTCGTGTATACCCACCTAAGCCAGGGAAGATAACGTTACAGAAAGCACAAAACCAGGCGAGGTATAGCGGCAGCACGGGTATGGCGGCCTTCATCTTAGAAGTATACTCCACCAGGTCATTATGGAGTTTGCGACGTGTTTCCTAAGAATGAAAATAAATCTATATTTAATATAAAAACTAGATGAATTTTGTATGAGACCTTATTCAAAATATTATATATTTTTATTTTCTTAGGTTGATTCAATTAATCAATGAGGACTTACCTCACTTGTTGGCGGTGCTACAATACTTTGGCGGCGCGCATCGGCTGCTTGCCGTGGTTTCTTGCGACAGCAAAACATCATCAGCCAAAAACGTTTGCAGCAACTCCTGGAAGTTCAAAAACGAACTTATTCAGTTAAACGATATTGTGCAATCGATTATCAACCGATGTTTGTTAACGATCATCGGCCAGCCAGCAATGGAATTGCTGTCCAGTGAGAATCGTCAATTACAAACTATCGATTTGAACAAATTCAAATTGAGATTTTAAAATTTCAAACAGAAGTTCCCATCCCTAAAGTATTTAGCTGCTCAACTTACATTTTGGTCATGTCTTCTGTTGCTGTCACTGCCGATGGCGCCATTGAAGAGCCTTCTAGTACGGCGGCATCTGTGGGAGCTATGCCCAGCTCTGGATCCTGATCTCGCCAAGCAACCTTAGGCTCGGTGGCCGCAGCAACAGTGGCATTTTTGCGCCTACAGGGTATACAGAAGCAGCACTTGCTCAGCTCCGTCTCGTCGCCCGTTATGGGATCGACTTTATTCACGGATCGACAGCAGAAAACCTTTCGCAAACACATGCCACAATTACTCTGGTGCTTTGGTTGATGGCTTGATGTGGATTGGTGCATTGGCTCCACGCTCATTTTGGTCTGTTTCTCCTCTGCGATCTCAGTGGACTTTGGCTTTTTGCGACAGCTCTTGCAGCAATTGGATGTGGGCCAACAACGAGACTTCTTCTTCGCCTCATCAACTATCTCCAGCTGCGTTGTTGTCGAGGCGCTGCTCCGACTGCTCGCGAGCACGGGCTGCTGCTCATCGGCGGCATCTTGCAGGCGGTCCTTGCGCAATCCGCAGCAGCGCATGCAGCGAGAGCGGCGAAAGCGCATGCAAAGCGTGGTGCAGCATCGACAGCAGCCCGCCTTGCCTACATCATCCTTTAGGAACTCCTGACTGCCAGTTCTGAAAGAGGAAAGTGAAGGAATCATTGTATAATCGGAGAATTGTAAAGGCTTTGGGGTTAGTTATTCTAATTAGAGCCTCGATTATAAATCACTGCCAATACGAATCGATTTGCAGCCTTGTCTACCGGAAATTGGCTGTTAAGCTAGTAAAGGCTAAAAACTAATTATAATATTGATCTATTTCAATCAGATTTCATTCGCCTTTGCCTTTGTGTCTATACGCTTTTTATGAATATCGGAAATTTGAGGGAACTGAAAAAACCAATTATAAATTTTCTATCTACTCCTTGACTTTTACAATACCTATAATAGCTGTCTAACGGAATCAGCCTTCATTTATAGCCTTGATTCCGAGACATAATTGCCATAATAGCTGTCTATCGGAAACAGTGGGTAATAACCGCAGGCCGAGTGAGACCTTGTCCTTTTTGTGATATCATGGTAATAATTTGCACTCAATTTGCATGGTTCACATTTATTATGCAAATCGATTTCGTGTTGCATTGTTGCCACACATTTTCATTAGCATATTTAATGACTTTTGCATTCGATGCGATAAAGATGAATTGCACGAGAGCATTTGCATAAGCATGCACATATTTTGCCATAGGTCAAAAGTTGAAAGTACATTAAATATATTATATATATTATATATATTTTACAAATATATATGTATATGTACATATATGTAGTTCATTCACAGACTGAATTTGGTTTGTGCTACGCACACGCATTTGCCTGGAGGGTTATTAAACCCACTTTAAGTTCAAGGTTAGCTGTTCGACTATCGTCGACTGTAATGGGTACTTTAACTAAACATAAATTAGCCCTCACTTACACAATTTTCCACTCGACCACGTGCCGAAAGGTAAGAAAAAGTAAAATAACCCACACGCTAATAAATATGATTTCAACAACCGCACGAGCCAACGACCAAACTTCTTTTGGAGGTCGAGAGCTTGACGCCAGTCGAAAGAAACTACATGTTCTTCGTACTTTCGTCGCATTAACTACTCAATTAACATTGGACTGCACATATATAATATATATTGTGGAGAATAAACAAAACTTTAGCTTTCGGAGTTTTCGGAGCTTGCAACTATTTCCGCATTGCTCAATGACTATTTCTTAATTATCATGGGGTATCGTGTATATAGAAAAGAAATATACCTTATATTAAGGAGTTTTAAGTCTACCTAATCTTTCGATCTATCAACAAACTATTTCTAAAGCTAGTAAAATTTTGTCTAAGAGGTTTTTTAGAAATGTATACAAATCATGTGGGAAAACCGAACTCAATTTCTTATTTTTACGATTTTCTTTTTTTGATAAAATAGAAGCCAAGTTAATATGTCTTTCAGTCGAATTATATATGAAGTAATCTAATCTATATCCGCATTGCAGAAAACATTTATATGTAAACAAAGTATAAACTTTTTTATATGAAATTGCGCTTTAGATAACATTTTGATAAAAGCTTCTAAACTTGCTTATTTTATAGTAAATTAAATATGGAATACATAATAAATATCGTTTTTGTTTACCTAAATAAATATTTATCCGGTTCGATTAACGAATTCTGCGGCAGATCAATGTGAAAGACAACCGAGTTCTTTTTCTTCTTGGTCAACATGCTTAGGTAGCACAGTTATCACAGGTATCACTCGCTAAAATCTAAGTATTTTTCATCAATATTGTTTCACTCTATATTGTTCAATTCGAATTTGAATCCTAGTTGTGGTTGGCGCGATTGTCCGGCTGAAACTGATTTGTTATTGCGGCATGAAACTTTGGACATGCCACGAAAACTAACTAGCTAGGCAGATTGTTATGTATGTGCACACCTCTCGACTGGTCGACCTGCAATACACACACACACACACGCACACACATACACACATACATTCGTAGACATGTCTGTATGTATGCACACTTCGAAGGACGTCGGCGCCTGAGGACGACAAGGCAAGCGAACGGATATCCTTAAAGGCGTTCCGTATGGTCGCCCTAAAGTTTGTTCCTCCCCTCAAACCCAAGTAGCTCGTAAATTTATTGACGCATTTATGAGTGGCCTGGTGGCCCAAAGCCCACTACACTACTACAACTATATAAATATATATGTATATATATATTTATTCCTATATACATACATATATACACATTTATATAGGTATGTATGCAGGTGTGCGTGTGTGTGTGCTACGTGGTTTGGCGGTCTAAAGTTTTGCCCGTACGTTTCTTGTTCGTGCAGTTTCCGGCTATGTAAATTTACTGGCCAAGGGGTATATGCCTGGCAATTGTTTTTACTTGGAGAGTTTAGGAACGACGCAAAAAGTTAGTAGACTTGCAAAAAACGACAACAAAAAGTTGTGGCAAATTGGCTGAGATTTTTGTTTTGTTTTTATGCATGGGAAAGTTGTTTAGCAGACAGTCCCAATAGGCTGTTTAGATAGACCCCACACTAGAGTATATGTACTTTTGATCAGAATGCAAAGATTACCCTAGCTGATTAATAATAATCAATCATTTGCTTTTTCTACAACTCCTCTATCATAGGCCTTTACTTACTTGGCAAGTCCTCCGCTGCCCACAGTCGAGCCCTGGCCATCGGGCGAGAGTCGTTTGTCATCTACTGGAAAATCGTCAGCGAGTCCAGCTGTCGTTGTTGGATGCTCCAAGTTCTTAGTGTGATCCTCTTGCGGATTGGCTCTTTCGTTCTCGGCTTCAGGTACAGCACTAAGCTGAGCGCTCGCTGCATCTGATTCGAGGGCATTCAGCACCGATATCGATGCCTCAATGGGTTGTGTGGGTGGTAGGGGGGATTTTTGTAACTCGGCGGGGGAGCTGCGCTGGGCATTGCTACCATCGGCTGTGTCCAGCCGGGGAGCGCTATCATGGGCCTTGGCCAGCATTGTGACGCCACTGGGTGTGGGCGAGGCAGTAGTAATTGGGGCAAGTCCTGATTCATTTTCATGGGTTTTCTGGTCAATTAAATGTTCATTAACCGTTTTCTGTGCCTCGGTGGTGCCGTCCATAGCATCAGAACTTGTTGCAGCGGGGTCTAAGCTATCGCCAGATTGTGGTGTAGGCTGCCTGTTGGATGCTGTGATTGTACATGAAGAGAGACTTCAATCAGTATGGGAACATAGAGAAGAGGGAGGATTTTTCACTTACCTTCACCTTCTTGAGACAGCTCTGGAACCGTTGTCACTTTGCGATTCTGTGCGGAGTCGGTTCGCTTCTTGTTGCTTACCAAACTGAGACGTGAGCTCATGCGCACCAAGTTGGACATGTTGGAAGTTTGTCGCTTAACAGCTCCTGCTTTGGCATTCACCTCGTTGCGAACTGCGGGCAAAGCTTCTGCAGCTACATTCACTGCGTTGCCCACATGGATGGCCAAGGGATTTATACTATCCTCCATAGTCTCTTTAGGCGCAGAGGCAGCAGTAGCAGCAGCAGGAGCACCAGCAGCAGCAGTTGTCTCCAATTTCTCTGGCGATTCCCTCTGCTTGGTTTTTGTGGCTGGACTTCCGTTTGGCTTGTTATTGTTTTTTTGCTGAGCTGCTTCACGAGCTTGGGGCTTGGGTATACCACTAGCTCCATTAGCTTTGCCAGCTGGCTTATCTGTTTTACCATTTTTTTGTCCAGCCTCCTGTTTTTGCTGCTTTGCTGGAGTTTTATTTGGCTTACTTGCTTGGCTGCTTTTAGGCGTGGCTTTAGCGAGAATCTTACTTCCGTTTCGCTTGAGATTGAACTCAGGTTTGATTATTGCTGTGTTCTTCTTTTTGGCACTTTCCGCTTTATTGGATTTCTCCTTGGGGCTGGGCTTAGACAAGGCTTGTGTAGGCCTTTTGCTCTTGGGCGTTGCAGACTTATCAGAGGGCTTGTCCGTCGTTTTCTTGGCTGGCGAACTGGATTTGGACACAGATCTACGCACACTTGTTGGTATAAGAGAGCGAGAACTTCTACGTTTACTGCTGAGGGGACTGTCCTTACGCTCGAGCTTTGGCGTCGACTTACCCTGCTTGACGGCAGGACTCAGTGACATTCGACGTCCAAGCATGCCCTTCGGCGGCAGACCTTTAGGACTTGTGGAAACAGATTTTCTGCGATTGGGTGAAATTTTAGTTTGACGACCATTGCGCGATGCTGTCGATGGTGAAATGCTCGTGGAGCGTATGGATGAACGCACGCTCAAACGTGAGTTAGCTCGAGAGTTGGCCAGTGAATCAGCGCGCGAGTTGGCCCGCGAATCTGCTCGAGAGTTGGCTCGGGAGTCGGCTCGCGAATTGGCCCTGGAGTTGGCTTGTGAGCCATCCTTCGCTTGGGCCATGCGGGAGCCTGGTCTAGAGGGTGGGCCTCTAGAGACGGGGCGACTGCTGCTAAAGCGCGTGGGCGTCAATCTGCTGTCCAGCTGAGCTTGGTTGTCAAAGCTACTGCGAATCGTGTTTTGCGATGGCGAACGACTGTTGCTAGCTCGTGAATTCCTACCGGACAGGCTGGACAAATTGGCAAAATCCTTGAGTGGCGAGTTGGAACGACTATTCGGATACGAATCCTGGCGACTGCGTACAGGTATGCGTGATATAGAATCGCGACGCATCGATAAGTCGGATGGCGTATCTCTGTGGGCGTCCTCGTAGGCATCGCCATGCAGTGGACTATCCTTGCCGCTATCCTTGTTCGGCGTGCCTATGATGGGTGACAGAGTGCTTGGCTTGACTATCTTGGCGCGCTTCGAGTCCTTGCTCGGAAAGAGCTGTCGTCGAGGACTCTTCAGCTTGCTAGCGGGCTGATAAACTGATTTGCGGCGTTGCATTCCTGCTTTAGTTGTTGTTGGCAGTGTTGAGAGTGTCGAGGGTCGGCGGAAACTAAAATCGGAGGTGGTGATGCTGCTCAGATTTGAGCTGCGGCGATCTGAAGCAGTTTGCGTGGAACTGCGGCGCTCGGGTGAAGTAGAGCTAGAGCGCCTCCTTGCCTGGATGCGCATTGGATCGAACGTGGACTTGGGCAGCTGTGTGCCCATTGTTAGATCATCCAAACTCAGCCAATTCGATCGAGCTTGTTGGCTAGGGGAGTCGTCATCTATGGACTTGTTGATCACTCCAAGCAATCCACGCTGCTTACGCGTAGGATTCGGGTTTGGCTTTAAAGGACGCGGCAATGTGCCCGGTGGTATTACTGATGTCTCCTTATCCATTTCCATTGAGGATCTACGGAAACGGCTAGTCTCCTTGTCCAGCTCCATGGAGGAGCTGTGCAATCGAGGTATGGCGCTGCGATAGGGCTGCGAAATGAGGGGCAGCGATTCCAGACTTTTGATGCGCTGACCAAATGGAGATGAGCTCATACCCATGGAATCGCGTCTCTGGGCACGCGGCGTATACGTATCCACCGACGAGGTCAACGAGTCCCTCTGCTGCAATATGCCCTTTGTGGGCATGGCCAGTTTGCTTGGACTGTAACGTCCGCTCATATTGAATTGGACAGAGGGCCGCGGGGAGTCATCATTAAGCGGCTGACTGCTGGCTGGCAATTGCGGCAAGCGGGAGGCCGTCAGCGACTTGCGACGCGGCCTCAGCTGCGGCTGTGGCTGAGCTGCATTCGACGAGGTAGTGGTTGACTGTAGCGAGGGATGTCTGCTGATCTCTGTTGGCCGTTGAGTCACAGGCGTGGCACTTGGACTGTGACCCAGCGACGATTTGGGTGAGCGCACCGAGAGTATGGTGAAGGCAGACTTCTTGTGCAGCCGTGTGTCGCCCACACTGAAGAACAAGAGAATGAGAGTTTGGATAAGAGCAGAATTTATTAATTAGTCTTACAACTTACCGATATTCACCGCCCGTTGCAATAGACTCCTTCATGACGACGGGCGACAAAATCTGCGATTGCATCTGCTCCTCCATTTCAGTGCTGGACTCTGGTAGCTGGCTTTGCTGCAGGCTGGGCGTTTGTGGCTTCTCCAAGCCATAAGTCCGCATGCTCTCAAGCAGCTGCCGCTCACTGAGCAGTAGTTCCCTTTGCTGCTGCTGCAGATATTGCTTTGGCGAGAGTATGAGATTTCTGTCCATTGTGGGTGTTGCGCTTCTGACTGGCATTTGCAGCAGTTGCTCTTCCCCACTGCTGCTCGAACCGTTTGAATCTTGCAGCATGGTGGCTAGCGGAGATAGCGGCATCTCCTCGTGCTTCATGGACATCACCATCTTCGAACTGGGTCGCAGCTTGGGTATCCGGCTGAACTCTGCGAAATGCTGTGGCGTTGGGCGATACCAATCCAGGTCCGATATTGACCTGCAAAAGTTCTGAATCAATTATCAATCTCTCTACGACTGCTTCCTTCACTCACCTATTTCCAGTCTGTGCTTCCTGCTCCTCGAAAGTGCGCTCCGTAGCCTGTGTGGCCTGTTCGTACTCACATTCGTATACATCTGGCTTATTGACTATGTCCTGCGGTGTGAGAAGCATGAAATTCGGTGAATCGAGCTGCTCGGAGCTGGAGCCTCCGCTCGAATTGGGCAGTATTTGTATGTCAGGCGGTTGCAGTCGTGGTATGGGTTGAGACTGAGCTCTGAGGGTGCTATAGGGCACTTTCGAGAAGAGTCTTCGTCGATTCTCCTGACCCATGAGCGTGTTGAGGGCAACGGCAGCCACAAGTGTATCCTCCTCGGAGCTGGGTATTTCTATAGATCCAGCCCGTATCGTCTCAAAGGCTGCAGTGCCAAAGTAATCTTCCGGCTGCGGTGGGGGCACTGGATCGCCAAACAAACTGCTATAGGGCTGAATATTCGCTGAACTCTTTTCCATATAGAGCGTCTCCGAGGCAATCTCTGACCCCCGCCGATCCCGCTTGGCTGAGCTACGAGCCGATGGGGACATTATGCTATTCGGATCGTAGCTATAGTCGACAGAGATTATAGCAGGCGTTGCTATGGTCGTGACGGTAGCTGAAGCTGGAGCGGTGGCTGTAGTTGTAGCTGTGTCTGTGTCCGACGTGGGCGATCTGATGACTGGCTGAGCTATTGCCGAGATGAGTGTTGGTGAAGGTGATGATGAATATGATAATGTTTGCTGCATGATTAATCATTGGTGCTGTTCTCTCGGCAAGAACTCCTTGAAGGTAAACAGTTAGGTGGCACAGGATGAACTCTGTATTATTTCAATGTGAGCTGCCTGGAAGATGTGCCATAGTTCTTAATTCTGTAAGAGAAAGAAAGTACATTATATATTGTCAATTATATAATTTCATTTTAATTATTTTTAACTAATTTTTAGCTATTATTTTTATATGTATTATCAGTTTTGCTACATTAATAATACCATTTACATTTGTAAACAAAAATGATCCTGGGACTTTTTATTTCCCTCCTAACCTTGTTTTTATTCGCTCAAATGCTTTTTATATTGCAGTCTCTTTCTTTCTGCCTCTCTTAAAGAAGGGGGAAATTTAACTTCCTTATATTTTTACTTCTCTCACTCGCTCTCTCTCTTTACGAGGAAATAGCAGAGCTGTTAAATTGTGCATTTGATAAATGGCAGATTCAGGTTCGAATCCTGTATGAAGCAAATATTTTATATTTTCTTATAATAATTAAAATATTGTTTTTAAATATAATTTAGATTATTATTCTAACAATTTATAAACACTTGTATAATATTGTTACTTGGCACAAAGCTATTATTTATCTATATAGACCAATTTTATATATAAACAAAAAGTTATTTATAATTACTTCGATTAAGGGTTGACTAAAATACTCAAGTCCTTCGGCTGCACAGGTAAAGTAAGTGACACGAAGCAACTAAAATTATATCGCCACACTTACTCCGTACGTATCCAATTTTATGCCCATAGACGACTGTCAGTAAGACCTTCTATGGCAATGGGCAATGCAATGTCAGTGCACCAAACACGCGAAGCTCCATAGGCCGACTGAATAAAGAAAGACCCAAACCCGGGCAAATTTGCAACGGAAAAGCCGATATACGATGTGCGATGTGCGATGTATGAGAGAAGTTGCGAAAATAGTAATTATTTTTTACTACTATATAATATATTGCATACATACATCTACGGGCATTTCTAATATCTAGTATTTCACTGCCATTGCCATTCAGCTTTGCTGCTCGAGCTGATAAAGCAACAGACAGCTCAATGCATCCACAGTTAACAGTTCAGCGATTGTTTATACTCTGTAGTATAAGTGCATTGGGTGTGCATGACCATTAGGTGTTGTTCAAAACAGCTGATTATATCTAAGAGACACAGTTAACGGTAGACTGAGTTCGTATACCTTGTACTTAAGAAGTAGTGGGTATAAATGACTTGAAAAGGAGAGACAGCTTATACCCTGTAATAAATACGAGTCTCTGATGTACGTATATATCATTTAGAAGGCATTTGCTAACTTACAGGGTATGAAGTAACTAAGTAGGCTAACCTGGAAGCATTGATTTATTACAAATATTGCATGTTTACAGGGTATTTGGCTAATGTTAGCTCAGCCAGTTTGCCCATTTGAATCGCCTACGATTGATGTTCGCTAACGAGAGCATAACTTGTGCGTGTCTAGATTGTGGCTATGCCTCACGTTGCATGTGGCAAATTGCTGCTTCATGTTGCACTTTAAAGCGGCACCATATTATATTCACAGCAAAAATTTGCAGTGACTTTAACTGTTTACTTATACGCAAGTACTTAGTGAAAGTGATTTTCATCTGAGATAACCATAAATTATGATTTATCTTTTAGATGATGTTGAGATATTTTTAAAGATGGAATTCAATATAAATTCATGTTTTGCTACCAATACAATAAATTCACTTAACCATAAAGTTTTGAAATTCGCGGCTGTCAACAGTCAAGGCGAAATCAAAGCCAAAGTTGTAATTGCTTTGAAAGACACTTAAAAGTTGGCAAATATTCCCACGTCAAGTAGCGAACGTGAATTCGCCCTTGCCAATTCGCCGCAAACGAAGAGACGGCCGGCGCCATTGCCTGCAAGCGATGCTTCTTTTTGTGTGTGTGAGAGTCACTGCGCTTGTGTCTGTGTTTGTTCTTTTGCCGCGTGGCACCTGTTGGTATGACACGCGATATACATTGTAAGCGTGTGTGAGTATATACATATATGAAAATCTATGCATATGTATGTGTGTGCCACAATTTTCGCATGCGTTATAAGCCTCAAAACAATTTGATTAACCTATATTGAAAAGGCTGTGCGTAAAGCCAAACCAAACTTTTGGCTTAAAAAGTGACGTGAAATCTATTTTCAATTCACACACATACACGCATTGCTATGTGTGTGTGTGTGTTACACTCGCGGCTCTAGGCTTCGTTTGCCTTTTGCCTTCTCCTTGGCTTTGGGTTTAAGGGGGTCAAAATAGCAACAATTTTACACAAGTCAACAACCAGGCAGCACTTGAATGACCACCGCGACTTGCCACGCTCCTTGGCGTCCGTCTAGTTGCAACACAACACAGTCTGCCTAAAGCCAGCAACAACAGCAACGTCTATTAATGTGCCACACATACGCAGACACTCACATACTGATACACAGAGCACACCGCAAGCGAACGAAAAAAAAAAAGAAAAGGAAAAATCCTTGGTTAGTGTCGTGATGGCAAATTTCCATTCAGCTTAACACTTTGCAATTTTCTTTCACTTTAAGAATTTTCTTTTTGGGTTTCCCCATTCAATAGATTTCAACAGATTGTTTTGAGCAACCAAATTGCTACAGGTTTGAAAATTTACGTTTTTATTTTTAATTATTTTATTAAATGTTCAAATTGTTAATTTTAAATTCAAAATATTTTTTAATTTTCCAATTGCGTTAGCTTTAATTAAAACAAAAAAGGTAGAATTTAAATTTTGCTTTATAAAAATCGATTCATATTTACGGTTTTAAGTTTTGCGATATAAAAAAAAAAACAAGTTTTTTATTCATTTTCTTATGCCTGTTCACGCATTGAATTTTGTTTTAGATACGAACAAGTATTATGCAGTCGGCTGCTTTGTTGAGTTTATTGTTAATATATAAGATTATTTTATTGAAATTAATTTGAAAGAGTTTTTAATTTTTGCTTCAGTTTTTATATAGAGTATTTACTCGCTTATTTAAGCGCAACAGATTTGCTTTAACTTAAAGAAAAATTTGTTAAATGTCTTACGTTCAGATTATTTTTTTAGTCATTTAAAGCCAAATATACTTGTATTTGGTTTTAATTTTTAGTTTGCAAATATATATTAAATATACATAAATGCATCCTTTATTTCATATCCAAATATAAACAGCTTCAAATATGCTCTATTAATTTAATTTGAAATTAGATACCCTTTCTTTTCACATTTTTAATTAACTCGTAGTGTTATTATCTCCGGCATTGATTAAACATTTGATATTCCTGCAGGCTTTTATTAGCTGAGCTGCACTCTAAATTGTATACACTTAAAACGAGTTGTGTTTGACTTCATTTAAGTGCCACACTCTGTAAGCAACACTTAAATATGTTTGTGTGTGTGTGTGTGTGTACATACAATTATTTAAATCGAATTAAGGAGTCAGCACAACGCGCTTTTCGCATCGATCCGATGCACTTGCCGTTCGTTGAAAAACTAAAACGTTGAAAGAAAATGCCTTCTTATAGTACGAGTTGTCGTTGTCGTTCTTCGTCGTCTTCGTATGCCACCTGGACAAGCGGCTAAGCTAAGGTAAGGCAGCCAGTTTCAGATATGTCCAGCAGTAGTCGCCTCTATTGGGCAGCCGAAGTGTGCTTTAACGGACGAAGTCCTCGGCTATCCGTCGTATTGAAACGTATACGTGGGTCAGTAAACCTACTTCCGGTTGACATAAATACGCCTTGGACATGAAAACTTGCCACTGTTTGTTGTGTTTGTTGTTGTTAGACTGACATTCTATGGCTATAGATTTGAATTTAGTTTTTTGTTGTTGTTTTGATTTTCCTTTTTTTTCGGCTTTTCAATTGCAACTGCGTGCCTCTTTAGAGAAAGCCGGCAGTGTGCAGAGGCTTAAGCGTAGAGAGTTCTTCTGGGCTTTGGCCAAGGTCGCTAAATTTCTCAAGCTAAGCTAGCTGGAATCTTTAGAAAGTAAAACATAATTTACCGAATAGTAATAATCAGAAAAACATAACCAAATTAATCAAATTCAATTTATGTTTTATTTCTCAAACAAATAAAATACGTTTTTAAATTTTATATTTACTTTTAAAGTTGTTTATTAAAATCGTTTATTAAAAATGAAAAGAAAAGGATAATTTACTTGTTTTTCTTTTTAGAAATTTCATCAAATTATATATACATTATTTTAGAGGCCTGTTGGAATCCTACTGGAATTTAGGTGTACTTCTGAATATATTTCTCAGATGTTTGTCCTATAAATTATGCTTGGCCATTGCAATTCCCAAATAGTTGTTGTAATTGTTGGTCACTCATTAGGGGCTGAAAGGTTTTGTTGGGCTGGGTTTCCTTGGTTGAGTCAATGTAATCGCTTTGCTGACCTTAATCAGCAGGATACCAAACCCAGAATCATATTTTGGCATGGCCCAGCTTAGCCTGACCAGGCTTTCAATCTAATTTGTATTATTCGGGGCTGCACCTTGCACAGGGTGCAGTCCAACACAAGAAGCAGCAACAGCAAAGCAACTGGAAAAGCAATAACAACAGCAACTGCAACTGCAACATCAACAGCAACAGCAACAAGCAATATAGCTTATTCATGCTAATTTCTGGGCGCACAAATGTTTTCACGCGATGCCGATTTAAAAAGCACAGCCAATAAATTAATATCAATTGCCGAGAAGTGAACAATAGACCAAGCCCAAATCTGTGAAATATCCAATTACCGGCACAAGCGTGTTCCATATACGAATATAGTTATGTATACGTAATATTCAAAAGGGGAATTCCAGGCCGCCAATCTAACTCCCTTTTAATTTGTCCGCAATTTAACTTAACCTCCTTTTCAGCCAGTCAACCAGCCAGCCAGCCAGCTGGGTCACAGCGAATGCCTAAGTCACATTTAATTTAGTTACCAAAAATACTACGCTACTTTTCTTTTCCGATTTCTCACCTGCTTGTGGCATGAATATCCTTGACCTCAATGCTCGTGTTTTTTGCTTACGCATTGAATAAAGTTTTTGGCAAACGGTCTGACCATGGTGCGTATGATTTCTGCCACTTACTAAACAATGCCTTTTCACGCTCATTCTCAAAATGAAAAGAGAGTTGGTTGGTTTTCTGCCATGTTTGTCCATCTGTCTGAATGTAAGCAAAACTACAAAATATATTTCATTCGAAATTCTTTTCATTTCAGTTAATGCTGTTGAGTGACTCTTCATGGATCATGGTTGAGTGCTTTTACGCCTAGGCATATTAACATTATTAAGGTGTCAAATCAGAAAACATCATTTTGGGCTTTAAGCGAGTATTATGCAGTCGGTTGCGCATGATTTTCACACTTTACTTAAGTATATTGATTTAGTACATCAAAAAAAGTTGGAACTAAGGAAGCTTTCCTAAATATGTGTAAAAAACAACAGGTTTACATTTTAAACATATTTAAATTTTAATTAAAACATTTCACCTGAAATTTAAATACACACTCTAATACAAAAAAAGATACATATACAAAATTGCTGATATAAACAGTTTTAGTTATTAATGGGGCACAAATTATATTATTTCAATATTTAACTGAATGGTATCAAATCCCGAAAACTGTGTAGTCTTGACTGGATATTGAGGACTTCGTATGGAGATACAACATTTACGGCTCGCTAACTAGGCTTTTCAGTTAGTTAATCTCCTTGTAAGCAACAATTATCAATATTTTATTTGCCTACTATTGCCCATTCAAGTAATAGGAATTAGGCCTATTAATACATTCCTTCATAGCTGTATTAAATATTTACCAGAATAATTTTTGAAAGCCAGGGACGACTCGCGGTTACAAACGGACAGATATCGATACCTTGGACTACAAAATATTCACCTATATCGATAGCATCAGTCCTGAATCAGCTGTTGCTGAAAATCAAAACAAAAACTTTAGACAAAGTTATAAATTAATAATATAATAAAATATGTTAAAACTGTAAGTACAGACGAGCATTTAATTCTGTTATACTTGACATTTCCTTTGACATTCCCTTTGTAGTAGCTATCGTTTAGAAGAATGCAAAAGAGCCGTCAATTCGCAACAATTTCGTCGTTCTATGAACAGCAACAGCTCTTCCAAGCCGACACAAAAATTTGCCAACAGCTGGCAAAGACCATGCGGCGAGTACACCGGCATCAACATCTACAATCACAGAGTGCGTGGCAAAGTGCCGTTGGTGCTGCGTAATCCACATATGGTTACCTGGTACACATGTGGGCCAACAGTGTATGATAAAACACATGTGGGGCATGCGAGTACCTACGTAAAGGTGGACATAATACAACGCATACTGCGAGATTACTTTAAATATAATTTAATAACAGCCATGAATATCACCGATGTGGATGACAAGATTATCACACGAAGCAAGGAACAGGGACGTAATTGGCAGGAGCTGGCCCGGACTTACGATGCGGAATTCAAGGAGAATATGTTGAGATTGAATGTAAGGCCACCCAATATGCGAGCGCATGTATCGGCCAATATACCTGTGATCCAGCGATTTATAGAACAACTGATTGAAAATCAGCAGGCATACGTAGCCGAGGATAAATCTGTTTATTTCGATGTAAGTAAATGTCAGAACTACGGAAAATTGCAAAATATCAGCAAAGACGAACGGGCCCTCCAAGAGAACGAGCAAGGGAAACGAACTGCTGCAGATTTTGCTCTTTGGAAGGCAAAAAAAACGTCGCACGAACCTAGCTGGAGCTCCAAATGGGGTGGTGAAGGGCGTCCAGGATGGCATATAGAATGCAGCGCAATAGCTGGCATGTTTTTCGGTGATGAATTGGATTTCCATGCGGGAGGCCTCGATTTGCGTTTTCCCCATCATGAAAATGAGGAAGCTCAATGCTGTGCACACTACAAAAAAAATCAATGGGTCAACTATTGGCTGCACACTGGCCAACTCCATTTGGTGGGTGATCAGCAAAAGATGTCCAAGTCATTGGGAAATACAATAACCGTAGATGAAATGCTGAAGAGCTACACAGCGGATGAGTTTCGTATGGCCTGTCTCCTCTCCAATTACAATAATGCCATGCCTTACAGCGATCAATTAATGTTGACTGCACGTCAAACATTAAAGAAATTCAGGAATTTCCATGCTGATCTGAACGCGTATATGCAATTCCAAAAGGCGCCTAAACTCCTGGACAGGGGTGCACTGCAGTCGCAACTAGATCATACGATATTGGAGTTTGATAATAGTCTGCGTGATGACTTTGATACAGCACGTGCTATTAGTGTCTTAATGGACCAGATGAGCAGCATCAGCCGGTGCATCAATCACCAATCAGCAGATGCACAGCAGGAGCCCGCCCACTGTCTTGATTTGCTGCTGGCAGCAGGCAATTTTATAGGCTCATCCATGCTTAACCTCGGCATCAGCTCGCTAGCCGACTCATCGAATATATTGTGTCAACAGCAACAAGCAAATAGCTCTGCTCAAGTGGATGTTAATTTGCTAGTTGCTGATCTGCTAGCCATTCGAAGTCAACTGCGAGAGCAGGCAGCTGAATCGACGAATGTTAAGAAATTGGAACTACTTGAACTCTGTGATAGGCTGCGAAATGTTCTTCAAGAACATGGCATCAACGTGCGCGATCACAAACAGGGCAGCTCCTGGGTTTACAGAGAACACAAGACCGCTACTAGAAGAGTCTAAATTCGCTTGTTAAATTTTGTAATTGATCGCTGGAAAATTTTAAATATTTCCTTAGGGTGTACTCTGAATTTTAATTGATATATAACTGAAAAAAAATTTGGTTAACCGAAATTCATGTTTCTTTCTGCCTGTTACATAAAAGTATACAAGTTTTTATAGATAGAATTGTTTGTCTGTTTAATTTATTGAACGTTAGTTTATATTATCTATTATTTTACATTTATTATTGGCTTAGGATACAAGATCTATATATTGATCTTGAATTAGTCAATTTAAGCCGTCCATATATCAAATCGAATTATATCCTATTCATATAGCTATGCATCTGCTCTTAGCTAACTTAATTGTAAATGGTGGAACACTCTGCTTTATACAAATGTTTGGTAATCAAATAATCTCGTACCAGCTTAAAGAAGGCGACCATGCTAGTAAATGCTACAAAGCTTATGGACAGCACAAAGTGCCATTCAATGCTGGCAGCGCTCAGTGATGCAATCTCCACTAGAAGTACTGCTGCCTGCAGAGTTGCTAATGTGGAGTAAATGACAGTGGGGTTGTGGAACAGTTTCTGCGAATAGAGGAAAAGCTATATAAAAGTGTCTGGCGAATAGATATAAAAGTCCTATTTACATAGAATCGGAGATGACTGGCATTGCCGGGCGTGGCAACAGTGACCAGGCCGTGACTCCGATAGAGCGCTCCATTGTGCTTTACTACTGTACCATGGCCGTAGACAGTATACTTTGACCAGTTCTGTGCGTTCGCTGCCACAATGAGTTGCGGCGGCGCTGCCTGTGGATCGCGATCCATGCGCTGCCAGCTGCCCAAATGCAAAGTGGCTCGATGTAACGTATCGCTGTACTTGGCTGGATATTGAAAGACAGCTGACAAGCTAAAGGCGCCCAGACAAACGATGATGCAATGCTGTGCCGCTCGCATGACATTATACTGCACACTCAGTGATAAAAGACAGGGTATCAGCACTAGATAGGCATTCAGCATGCATGTGAAGATCAACTGCTTAAAGCGTCTGTTGAAGTCGTGGCGAAGCGTTTCAATTTCGTCGCGTATTTGAGCAGCATTCGTCGTGCAGCTATGCACAGGCAGATCGTTGATATAAACGCCAGGTACTTCGAAACGAGTGCGTAGAAACGGTTCCAATTGAAAGCCAAAAATGATGAGATATACCATAACACTAAAAGAATAGCAAATATGTAGTAGAAGAAGGATAAATTACTTAATTACTTACGGATAACTTAGATAGAAGAGCAACATGTAGGTGTGTGTCTGATAGAGCCTGAAAGCGCAATAGCACAGACCTAGCTGAACGAGTCCACCGAAGCCATATTTAATGCTCATGCGAACTATGCGACACTCATTATTCTTCCATTTGGCCAAAAGCATGCAATACAGAAATCGTCTCGTATTCAATATGAGAATAAGGTAACGTAAATACGGATCAATTAGTTCAATGTTCTGCAAATAAAATATAAGTATTAAGTCAGATTCATATTGCCATCCAATTATTACTTACCACCATGTGACGGGCTTGGAATTGCGGCAACCACCAGTTGGTGCGGTATATGTTTATGAATTGTACAATAGCTGCACCCATGGTAAAGGCGCACATTATAAGCTCACTCAGCCATTCTGATGTGGTTGCGTGCTCCGGAAAGGGAATATGCTTAGGCATTGTGACCTGTTGTGTACCCATTTTCGTTGACATGTTGCGCTGAAAACAATCTTGTGCATCGCTAGAGCTACTGCCATCGCTGCGTTCATCATAACCCATTCTATTTAAGAATTACTTAAACCAATTTGAACGACATTTAAACAATTTGCCGGACTAGCTTGCACGAAAAACAATAAATATTGCGGAAAATATCGATACTTTTGTTACCAGCTGTTTTTTGCCATTTTACTCATCTTGACGATTGCCATATACGATTGTTCGCTATTGTGCCGCTAGTTCCTTATTGGCAATGTTAAATGGCTTCTGTGCTTCTATTATTGCTTAACGAGGTGAAGATAAATAACTACTAACACTTAGGTAATTAAATTAAAATTGATCTACAATAAACTTTGTCCGTTACGAGCTAACTAGAATTATTTGGATGTGTCAACGATTACGAAGCAAGTGCTGCCAGACTTGTTGGAGTTCGATAACTAATCGATACACTATGACACCTCTGCTGGCAACCAACAACAACAACACATTTGCTACTCTATTTTCTTAGTCGTGCGTAGGCGAATTTCTTAAAATTCTCATTGAAGACGAAGCAAAATTTATGTAAAACTCCAACACTGCAATTTTATTCACTTTGTTTGAGGCAATAGCAAACAGAGTAGCTGCAACATAGGCGTATTTAGACACTAACAACCACACAATATGGGAAACACCGACTCGAAGCTAAACTTTCGCAAAGCAATTGTTCAGCTGACGCAGAAGAATCAAAAGATTGACAACAACGATGACCAGTTCTGGGATCAATTCTGGCAGGCGCATCAAACAACTCTGGAGGATGTCTTTGCACTGGTGACAGCAAGTGAAATACGTCAAATTAGAAACGATAATCCTGCGAATTTGGCTACACTCTGCTACAAGGCTGTAGAAAAGTTGGCACAGGCTGTCGACAGCAGCTGTCGCACTCAGGCGGAGCAGCAATGTGTGCTAAACTGCGTAAGGTTGCTCATACGGATATTGCCTTACATCTTCGAAGATGATAAGTGGCGTGATTTCTTTTGGAGCAATCTGCCCGCTCAAGAGCAGGCGAATCATGGTCAAACTGTGCCCCTGGCTCAATCCCTTATCAATGCCATATGTGATTTATTATTCTGTCCAGATTTCACTGTGACGGCAACGAGGCGCGCAGGCCCAGAGAAGGCCGAGGAGTTGGCCAATATTGACAGCTGCGAATACATCTGGGAAGCGGGTGTAGGATTTGCTCAATCTCCGCCACGCAATGCGCACATGGAACGCAGGCGGACGGAGCTATTAAAGTTGCTGCTCACCTGTTTCTCGGAGCCCATGTATCGCACACCTCAGCAATCAGAGGAGCCCAACAAGTGGATTGCCTACTTCACCTCCGCAGACAACAGACATGCGTTGCCTCTGTTCACCTCTTTCTTAAACACTGTTTGCTCCTATGATCCGGTTGGCTTTGGTGTACCCTACAATCATTTGATATTCGCGGACACGACCGAGCCGTTGGTAGAGGCCTGTTTGCAACTGCTTATAGTTACGCTCGATCATGACATGGTCGTGCAGCACCAACAGTTGCAACAACAACAACAGCAGCAACATCAACTGGCTCATGCTGGAGGCGTGCTGGTCACGCCCTACGACGAGGGCGGCTGTGGCGATAATCTGTTCATCAATTATTTATCACGCGTACATCGTGATGAGGATTTCCATTTTGTGCTGCGTGGCATAACGCGGCTACTGAACAATCCGCTCGTCCAAAACTATTTACCAAATTCAACGAAACGCCTGCATTGTCACCAGGAGCTGCTTATTCTCTTCTGGAAGATCTGTGACTATAACAAAAAGTTCTTGTACTTTGTGCTAAAGAGCTCGGATGTTCTCGATATACTCATACCAATACTATATCATTTGAATTATTCGCGTGCGGATCAGTCGCGCGTTGGTCTCATGCACATTGGCGTCTTCATACTGCTGCTGCTATCGGGTAAGACTTAAATGCATATCTAGATTTTATTGATTAATATATGTAATATTTATTAGGTGAGCGTAATTTTGGCGTGCGCTTGAACAAGGCCTACTCGGCCACGGTGCCTATGGACATACCGGTCTTCACTGGCACCCATGCTGATCTGCTTATCACAGTGTTTCACAAGATTATAGCCACAGGACATCAGCGTTTGCAGCCACTGTTTGATTGCTTGTTGACAATATTGGTGAACGTTTCGCCATATCTAAAAACGCTGTCGATGGTGGCCAGCGTAAAGCTGTTGCATTTGCTGGAAGCTTTTAGTACGCCTTGGTTTCTGCTCTCGGCGCCAAGCAATCACCACTTGGTCTTCTTTTTGCTGGAGATCTTCAACAACATTATACAGTACCAATTTGATGGAAATTCGAATCTAGTTTATACGATCATACGCAAACGCCATGTCTTTCATGCCATGGCCAATTTGCCGACAGATATGGCGGGCATAGCCAAGTGTCTGAGCGGGCGAAAAGCGGGTGGCAAATTTAATTTGCCACGCGTGCCACAGAGGAAGCCGGCCACAACTACGACTAGCCAGGAACTGCCATCGGCGCAGGCACCGGATGACGATTATATTGACGAGGAGGATGAAGAGGAGGACGACGATGTTGAAGATGTTGTAGTGAACAAGAAGACTGCTGCTGCAGCTGCAGCTGCGGCTGCTGCTGCTTCTGGTACTGCCGAAGAGGATCTCGAATCGGAAACGGAATCGCATGAGCGTTCACAGCTGGGCGATACACAGCTGGACACCGCAGCACCGGTAGCGCAGCCTGCCGAGCCGGGCACACTGAAAACATCGCTGCTGGACACTCCAAACATTGGTCAAATGACAGAACGCGAGCATCCACATCCCAATGATAAAGCTAACGATCTGTCGCCCGCGAAATCCACGCCTACGCTGGATCAAACGCGTCTATCGGTTGCACATCGAGCCAGCATACGCATGGTGCCGGGTGACAACGATCGCTGGACGCCCACACCAGAATGGATTGTCTCTTGGCGCTCGAAGTTGCCGTTGCAAACGATAATGCGTCTGCTGCAGGTGCTCGTGCCGCAGGTGGAAAAGATTTGCATTGACAAGGGTCTCACTGACGAATCGGAAATACTGAAGTTCTTGCAGCATGGCACATTGGTGGGTCTACTTCCTGTGCCGCATCCCATTTTAATACGCAAATATCAAGCGAACTCTGGAACTACGGCCTGGTTTCGTACCTACATATGGGGCGTTATCTATTTGCGAAATGTAGAGCCGGCTATTTGGTATGATACGGAGGTCAAGCTCTTTGAAATACAGCGCGTCTAAAGTTCTTAATGTAATAGTAAGTGGAACAACCAACATCAACAATGAAAAAACAAAAAACAGCAACAAGAACGCAGCTTATCCAAAAAACAACACGCTTTTGCATTTACTGTAGTTAATTTATTTAGTTTGTAACTCATTCCAAAAACAAAAACAAAGATCTGCAAATTACGAAATGTCAATGTTTTAAAAGAATATAACTTAAAGTCGATTTATCGGTTTTATCACTTCAATTTTTTAAACTGCTCTTCAAATAGCTTTTGTTCACAAATCTTTATTTAAAGTTTTTATTTTTAAATAGCAAAAGTTCCTTGTGCCGTATTTGTAAACTTTTGTCTAAGTAATTTATTTGTTTTGTCTTAGTATCTATTTATGTTATATAGTCTCAATACCTGATTATATTGCGTGATGTCCATTTAGAATTTGTTCAAACCGCAGATTTACCTCTGCCTTTCATTCACTTTTTAAAAACACTGTATTTCTTAAAATAAAATACCAATTACTATTCCACTTGATAAATCCACAAAATAACTTATTTTTGATTACCAAAAAAAAACAGCAAAGCTTTACATATTTTGTTGTTATATTATAATTAGCTTATTTATGTGCAATGTCCCCATTAATCAAAATTCCATTTATATACACATATATATATTCATACAAAATTATACTTGAGTAGTTTATTGGATATGTTATTCAAATTTCAAATTTAATTATGTTTCATAATCAAGTACACAAATATAGCCTCGAAAATAAATAGAACGCAACTTAAAATAAAATCAAATATTACATGTATATAGCACGATATTATTAAGTGCTTATAAATAAAGTAAATATAACATATTTAATGAAATGTATAAAATGCGTTTTATTTTTGGCAAAACTTTGTAACATACAGATGAAGACATCTATTAAGCCTTCCCTATCATAGGAACAAATCTATAGAGGAACCCATCTATACTTCCCACTAACACCTTGTTTATAGATAACATATCAAATCGAATATATGTATATAGAGTATGCCAACAGAAATATTGATGGATATAAATATATGTATTTGCTTAAATAAATGGCATAAGAAATTATAAAAAGCAATATGATGTGCCGCAGTTATTAACAAATTACAGAATCAGACTTGCTTTAAGGAATTAATCTAATCCATATCTCTGCTCCTACTTTCCATACTGCTCATACTCTCATCATTAAACTGATCGTTGCTCGATAATGCGCGTATCCAAATGACGTATTTTAACACGAACATGAATACGATTGAGACAACGCCAGCTACAACCGATTTATTGCCATCTGGTTCGTTTTGTTCCTGGCTCCGGAAAGTGGAATAGTTTTGCTTTGCCTGGACTGTATCTAGATTACCGAATATTGGAGACAAATCAATTAGGAGCTTTTCTGTTGGACCTGTTGGGATGGGCGTAAATAGGCCCATTGGTTGTCACAATTGCTTTACTGCAGCTTCATCTGGTTGCGCTGCAGGTGCAACTGGGATTATGTTGAACTTGACGTAATTTTCCTTTTGGCGCTTTTGCACAATCTTGCCAATGACTTGCGGCTCCTTGATGGTCGTCTCAATGGCCTTGACAATGCGATCCACATTGCCTTCATCGGCGCCACTCACATTTCCCTGGATGAGAATGCGCACCTCGTGTCGTTTATTCAGCCATTTGATTATGTTCTTCAGCCTGGAAGACAAATCATGGTCAGTCATTCGAGCGCCAATGGTTAAGGACTTTTCCGATTTTTTGTGGCCCTGCTTATCCGTAGATTTGGTAGTGCCTTTTTCCTGTGTCTCATCAGCCAACATTTCAGCAGCTGTAACTAATCTACATAGAGAAAAGGAGTATTTAGAATAGAATATAGACCACCTCGACTGCACCTACTTGAACACCACGCGACCGGTTTTTGCGTCCGGCTGTTGCAAACGTAGCAAATGTAAATCTCGACGTTTGGCCAACTTTTGGGCCTCCTCGAGAGTGGTAATGTTGATGGATTCATTCTGACCAATAAGCGTTATCTTTTGCTTTAATTTATTTGCTTTTTGTTCATCAGTTTTTGTTTTTGTTGTTTTTGCTTGTGTAAGATACCGATGAAATATTAATTGCTGTGGTCTGGGAGAAACATCAATTGTGCTTGAATATTTTGGTATCTGGAGTGTCAGTGAACGAAGTGCCAAAAGACTACGTATAACATTTAACCGATTTTGCTGCATTTTTTAAAATATTTTTTTCTACTAGTTAAATTCTGTTTCCGAAATTTTGCTGTCCAATACTGACAGAGTTGCCATAATATGCCAAAGATAATCATGATTGCGTCTCATCAGTAAAAATGAAATATACTTCTTTTTATGTGTCACTATTAACAATTTAATTATTTGTCTGCAAATAAATATTTAAATATACAAGCTAGAATAATTTATAAATATTTTAATTTCTACATATGCGTAAGTATCGAGTACATTTTTATTGTTATCGAATTTGGCGCGATGACTTTTCATTTCAATTATAACTGTAGTGCAAATTAATTAGGAACTATGTACATATGTTTCCGAATTGATATTTATTAAACTAAAGAAAAAAAGTTCAGAGGTTCACGTTTGCCACTAATTAAAATTATCTTAGACTACAATCTCACACTTAACCCCATTGCCGATTGGCATTAGTTCGCCTTCTGCCGTTAGAGTAGCTGTTGCGCTGCTCTTCGCGATTTCTTTGCTGCGCCCGCTGCGAGGCTAAAATCAGCTCGCATTCATGTGAGATGGAGCGCTGCTCTTGCAGCTGCTGGAATTCGGAACGACGGCACTCTTCACACTTCTCCCATCTGCTGAACTTATTCACATTTCGATCGCAGGGATCCGCCGCAAATAACATGCACTCGTCCACACAGAAATTGTAGAACCAAAAATGACCGACAATTGTTTGATTTCTGCAGCGTGGCTGATTGGTTCGCAGCATTTGAAAGCAGCGCTTTGCCAAGTTCGTATCCATGTTTTCCTCGTCTTCAACATTTTCTCGGTTCAAATTTCTGTTGTAGTTGTTGTTGTTCATTCTGTTCCAGGATTTGCGCTGCTGCTGATCATCTTCCTCTTGCTCTGCAGGTACTAGAGTGTCAGTCATATCTCTGTTGCCATAACGGGTTCGCTGTTCATTCTCTCTGTATTTGTCGCTGGGTCGTCTACGGTTCCAAGATGAGCGCTCCAAATCCTCCAGTCGTGGCGTTTGCCCATAACTCAATCTTCCTTCGCTGCCCTTCAAGTTGCCTATATCAAAGCCGCCAAGTCTACGAGTTTCATCCGTTTGTTCTGCATCGTAATCCCTATTAAAATTATTGTTGCCAAAGAGCTCTGGCTCTTGTTCATTCTCCTGCTCCTGTTCATGCTCTGGCTGTGGCATTCGCTCGTCATACGGCGCTTCAATGTCGCCTCCATTTAAGTTACCCAGACAGGCTCTGCCCGCACATGGCCGCGTCTCCTGCAGCTCTAGCCGGCGCACGCTCTGGCACTTAAGCTCGGCGCTGGGATTCAGGTATTGTCGTTGCCGCAACTGATAGCCCTCTCCGCAGGTGACGCTGCATGGACTCCAGCCACTCCATCCGGACAGTTGGCATTCAGCGCGTCTCTGATATGCATTTCCCTGCTGCTGATACTCGAGACCCATGTTGAATTCATCGTGATCATCAATAGGCCGCATTGGGTTGCCGCTTAGGCCGCAAACCTGGCCGTCACAGGCTCGCTCCTCATACTGCGGTACGTTGCAATTGTAAATCCTGGCCAGCTCTGGTTGCTTGTAGACGCGTCTTCTGTACTGCATGCCCTCGCCACATTTCGATGAACAATCGCTCCAACTGGACCACGGATGCGTTAGACATTCACGGGGCACATCCGGATCATTGTTAGCTAAAGTAATGTAAATTCTTGTAATTTTTGTATGCTTAAATTCTAAAATTGCTTACAATCTTCATCCGCACAGCGTCGCTCGTAGATGCGCTGCCGTTTCACTGTTAGAATGGCCATAGGCTTCATTGGCGCACCCGACTCATCGTAGAACGGTGACCGCGGATCATTGGGAAAGTCGGAACGTATGCGCCTAATAACATCTGGCGGCACCTGTGGCTGATCGGGTGACTGGACGAGGAAGATGTGGGATTAAAACCAATTCGTATTTATGTGCCACACCTTCTTTTGCTTACCGTATAAGTGGGTCCCGCGTCTGTGCCTATATCCCAGGGATATAGGTTGATCACCTTTGACTCCATCCACGTGCAGTTGCGTAGGCACAATTCCAGCCCACTTACGCCCACGATCCAATCTGGTGAGGGCTCAATTTTGGAGGCAAATGATATCATATGATGCACTGGATCGACACGTACCGATGCCATTGTTTTGCTATTTAGATTAGGAAAGGCGGGTCCACGTGCCTTTATAATGGTGCGTATCTTTTGATCCTGCAAATCAGACTTGATTAATTGAATAATTTTCAGGAATGCGTCAGACTTACCCGAAAGTTGATGCTAAACTCACGCTCAAGCAGGCGGGAAGTGCAGTGTTCGGCATATTGCTTCATCCCTTCGCTCGCTAATTCACCGGACTCCCAAAAGCGATAGTCAGAGCTATGTGCGGCGCCTACCAGCTCACAGAAGCGTGTCTCCCAACCACGAGCTGGAAAATACCTTGGATGTAAATTACGTGACCAGACGCCTTCGAATGTTAGCTAGAAAGGGAAGTTCTTTGATTTTAGGCAAGCTATAAATGAAAAGTAACTAAGTCATATAATATCTTGCCGAATTACTGCCACACTTTAGGTATCTACATTTGCCATAGTAACTACCAAGATATTTTCTAGTCTATTGACAGAAGCACTTGGTTCGCTCAATCGATTTACTCACCTCATATCTCGCCTCGTCGCAGGCACAGCACGGATGGTTTAGGGCAATGCCTGTAGGTTGACTTTCGACATCATCGACAACCTGCTCGCATATGCGACGCGTCAATCCGCCATCGTCCATGTGCCAGACGTCGCGATGCTGCAACACTGTTGCACGTATCAATATGCAACCGTTGCCCGGCTCACTGGGAGCTATCCACGTCAAATGTATATGGGTCTTGGGATTGGTGTTTGTGTTCTCCACCATGTTAATGCAGTTGGGATTGAAACGTGACTCAATCAAATTGCTGAGCTCGAAGCGACCCAGATCGTTTACATAGCTGAAGTCGCCGTTTTCATTCTCCAGCGCCAGTATATAGCTAATAAAGCGATGTCCATTGAATGCATTCAGCGAAACTGTCGAAAACAAAAGAAAAAGAAAAAACGCCAATGAAATAAGAAATCAACTGTTGTATATAGACGGCAGCTATCGGGGAAGCCGACCTTGAAAATCGTGAGACCTTTCAAATTCGCAATATCCTGATAAGAATGAAGCGAATGCCTCTATTTTGTTTACAAAGCGCAAGTATTGCGAAACGTTTGTTTTTGTTTTCATTTTTTATATATACCCTGTACACAGAGATGGGCAGGAGTATAGTGTAAATGCGGAAAATCGCGATTAGAAGTTGTGAATCACTTAATATATACGAGTAAAAATTGTCCACAGAGTATCAGCAAATAGATTACTCTTAACTTTGCTCCGTCCACTCAGACATTGAGTAAAAATAAATCAATGTAAAGGGTATGATGAACTTGTGGAAGTGTATTTCCTAGACACATACTGATTAGAAATTGCAAGTCACTAAGTAAATATGAGTGTAGCAAAGAAAGCTGAGTACAGGGTATCATCCCATCGATTACTCTTAAGCACTTTTGTTTTTGTTTTTTTTTTTTACGCACTTAAATGATTCGCGGCCAATCGGAAACAGAAACTTTTGAAGTTCAAGCGCAAGGTCAATGAACTCACGCGCTCACCGTTGTACTCCTGTCCGAGTATATAGGTTTCCGGATTGCCCGTTATGCTTATCACATAGTTCTCATCTACCGGAGACTTGGGCGTATGCGTATTGGCCGGATGACGTGTACAGATCAATGCCCAGCTAGAGTACGGCAATAGCACGTACACCACCAATAAATACCACATTCTTTCTATTAAGTTCTCGAATAAAATTCTCAAATGTCTGACTTGTCGTCTTGAGCTACTGTTTGAAACTGAGCGTTAAACATTTTTTTTCGGTTCTGGCTGTGAGTTCGCAAAAAGCCAACTGCTGAGAGATGCTGATAAGCTCTGCCCGGCAAGAGAACTTTACTTTTCTGACCCACTGATACAAATACAAAAAAAAATTCACTTATCAGCAGACACTGCCCACAAAAGCCGGAAAAACAATTATATTCCATTAAAATCCTATTGAATTTAAAGAGAACATAAGAGAACAGCCTAAGCTTAAGTGCTTAATGGAAAGAGATTAACATTTTTGAAGTCTATAAAGAAAATAGATGGAGAATAAAGAGAGAACCATGGCTTAAAGACTGCAGATTATTGTGAATAGAGAACATATGTTTTATAAGGCTATGTGAAGTGCTTAAAGTATTTGGAGTACATGTGGGAGATATTATTAATATTCAAATGAACTATTTGATCATCAAATTCGTTTCATAGGCAACTCTAAAGAAATACAAAAATGTGGAAAATTATATACATACTATGTTTATCTTTACTTTACTTTCGGTTGTGATAAATTTGATATAGATCTATTAATTATGATACGATATTTAGAAGATTGCCTCCTCTTAAAAACAAAAACGTGTTTAAATAATTTTTGCTGTTGCATTCAAGTTTATTAAATTCAAACGATTAACTGCCATATCTGCCACGTCTGCCATTATTATATCTATTTCTTGTCTGCGACATGGGCTGGCCAAAGCCTTCATCGCCTCTGAAGCCGCCCCCGCTGGTCTGGAACGTATCGCCTCCAAAGGCGTTGTCACCAGCAAATGGACTCTCTTCGGGATCGTCGGCGCGTACAGAATTGATTTGGGGCAGCAGGCAGGTGCCCTCGCATGCCATCAGAGTGCGAAAGCGATTGTTGTTCTCGTCGCAATTGTCTGTGGTAAAGATTTTGCACTGGTGATCGTCGTGGTCGTAGAACCAATAGTTGCGCACAATGACCGGATTGGCCAGGCAGGGAACCGTCGAGGCGTAGGGCTTCTCATAGCAGTAGTCCTGGATCACGTTGTAATTGCTGCCGACCGTCTCCTGCTGGCCCAGGCCATAGCCTGAGTAGTGTGGAGTAAATGGGGCACGGGTGGTCAAGCCGCCTCTGTATAGGGTATTACTGTAGTCGTTCTTATTATTGTAACTAGAGCCTGCATCGTATTTGTTGTCGTAGCTACTGCCTCGAATATCCTGTTTGTAGTCGCTGTAGCTCTCCTCCTCTCGATTATCCTGTTTGTAGACATTGCTGACCTCTTCCCAGTTGTTCTGCTTGTAGTCCCTCTGCTCATTGTAATAGCTATTCACTGTGGGCCGCTCCAATTCGTAGGGCTGTCGTCGGTTGCTCTTGCCCTGCTCTGGGTAGTTGGGCTTCGCCAAAGTGTTGCCAATCCAGCCCTGATTACCTCTATCCAAGGTTGGTCTTCTGTTGTTGTTGTAGTTGCTATTCGTACCCCAGGCGGGTCTATTGGTTTCAAAGCCCGCTTCATTGGTTTCTCCAAAAGGATCAGAGTCCGGCTGTAGCCCATCCAAGTCACCATTGTTGGTTATTGAGCCACCGCAGTCGATGCCCGAGCACGGCCTTGTCTCCTCGAGAGGCAGTCGCACCACGGACTGGCAGCGCGGCTTTGCCTGGGGATTGTGATAGTCGCGTCTGCGTGTCGATATGCCACGCCCACAGGTCTTTGAGCATGGCGACCATTCACTCCACTGGGTCATCTCACACTCGGCCATGGTCGCCGGACCATTGCCATCCTCATTGAATTCACCATTTCCCATCCCTTCGTCGTCTGCGCCACATCTCGTGCCCTGGCACTGGCGCACCTCCTCCAAGCGATCGTCGCAGTTGTAGCTGGCTGCAAGTGCTGGATTCTTGTAGCTGCGATAGCGCTGCGAGTAGCCAGGTCCACAGCGCGTGCTGCAGTTGCTCCACTCGTTCCACGGATGAGTTGCGCACTCCAAAGGACCATCTTGAGGCACTAGAAGATCAGATTTGATGAGTTATGATAGTTATTAGTTATAGTTATTTGTCCAGCCTCACCCTCCTCACACTCGCGTATGTATAGCTTCTTTCGGGTCACATAGAGCGTGGCCAGCGGTTTCATTGGAGCACCTGAGTCATCAAAGAACGGCGAACGGTAATCGCTTGGAAACGATGAGGTAATGCGGCGTATAACATCCGGCGGCACTTGTGGCTGATCGGGTGACTGTTTGAGGAAATCAGTTTAGTTTAAGCTTAACAGAACTTGATGTAATCTCACCATATACGAAGGACCCGAGTCGGTGCCTATATCCCAGGGATATAGATTCAGCACCTTGCGCTCCAGCCAAGTGCAATTGCTCAAGCACAGTTCCATGCCAGCCACGCCCACTATCCAGTCGGGAGATGGATCAATTTTGGCTGCCAACGAGATTTGATGATGCTGTGGATCGACACGCGCATTCGCCAAGGTGGTGCCAAAGATATTCTTTCGATAACCGATCCCAGGCGCTTTGATTATGGTGCGTACTTCGCCATTCTAGAAAACCAGAAGAAAGTTAAGGCGAATAGGCAAACGAGAGTCAATGCCAAGTCAAAGCTCTACCACCTGCGTATTATCCCTGATCACCTGCTCCAGTGTACGCGTGGATCCGTGCTCTGCCATTTCGCGCATGCCCTGACTGGCCCGTCCCCCATACGCCCAATAACGGTAGCTGTAGGTGTGCGAGGCGCCTATTATTTCGCCCAGACGTGTGCGCCAGGCCTCAGCTGGAAAATGCTTGGCATGCGTATTCCTGGCCCACTTGCGCTCCAATATGATCTATAGATCAGTTGATGAATTAAAGAGCTGAGCTCTGATCGGTTCTCGAACTGCAGTACTCATACCTCATACTTGGCCTCATCGCAGGCACAGCAGTTCTGCAGCGAGGGCGTCAGGCTGTTCAGCTCATCGATTTCCTCTGGACAGATGCGTTTGGTCAGGAAACCATCGTCGATGAACCACACGTCACGATGCTGCACCACGCCCGCCCTGATCAGAACACAGCCACTGTCCGGTTGCTTTGGTGATATCCAGGAGACGTCGATGCGTGTCTTGGCATTCGTATTGGTGCTCTCCACCATGTTCTCGCAGCCAGTGCTGAAGCGGGTCTCGGCCGTGTCGGACAGCTCAAAGTGTCCTGCCATGTCCTGTCCGCTGTAGGCCATAGACGGATCCTCGCTCTCGACTATCAACGTAAAGCTAATGAACTTCAGGCTGGTCGGGCAGGAGAGGGATACTAAAAGGCAGAATATATTGTTCATCTAGAATAGCTCTCACTATCTCTCTCTTTGTCTCCAGTTATAGTCATTCTTCTCTCACTCTTCCCACTCACCGTTGTATTGATGATCGGGTATATAGGTCGTCGGATTGCCATCGATTAATATTTTGAAATTATCATCGACTGCCGAACGCTCGCCCGATGCGCCCTGCGGTATCCGATTGCAGCCGCCTGCAATGGGCCTGAGCCAACTGAGAGTCAGCATAAATAATAAGAGAACTCTTCGACACATTTCCCAGCACTTCTAATCGCTGTGACGGCTCAATGATAACTGTCCGAATTGGTTTGAGTTTCGCTTTTCGTTTAGTTGACGTAACGCTTCAATTATACATATACATATATCTCAGACTGCGTCGCGACGCTTCAAACCCATCTTAATTGGTTCGCCTGGGTCGTTCGAAATATTTGTATTTCGAGTTGAGTTCCTCAACAAGCCGTCAACAATGTCTGTGTGGCTTTTGCATCGCTTGGGCGCCAATTAATTTATTTTGCGTAGGTTCTTTGAACTTTTGCGAGAACTCGAGCTAAATATTTTATAGTCTAGCTATCCAGCAGCAATTTATGTAGGTCAATGCTGAACAGCAAGCGCCCAAACATATGGCAAAAATCATATGAGATCGAAGACGTGCCGTTGAATTAATAAATATATGGGCTAATGGAGAGTAGTTCAACGGGTTGTTAAGGGAATTGTTTTGACTGTCGAGCTTGGAACACTTTTTAAATTGATCGAAGCTGTGGAAAATATAGCCCGAATAGGGCTTAACTTGGTTTTAGGTATATATGTATATATTTAGTTGAAGTAAGAAAGTTTTTCTACTCAAAGAAACTCTACTACTTAATAAAGGAATATACTTATGTAGAAAGAAGTATTTCCTTCTTCAACTCCATCTAAGACACAATTAATATATAGATATATGTATAGTTATATATATGTATTTATTTAGTTATTTATTAATATATTATTAATACGATATTTAGTTGTTAGCCATTGCTTCGATCGACATGCAATTTGTGGGAGCTGCTAATACTTGTAGCTAAATGAATGTTAATCAATATATACGTATGTAAAGTATTCAGAGGGCATATCGATTCAGTGGGAATTGTGTTCACCACTTGTCACTGTCGTCGTTGCTGTCGAGCAGGCACGGCATCATGACGCACTTCTCGATGCGCACCCGGTCCTTGCACTTGTAGCTCAGGTCCGTGTTGAGGAGAGTGCGCGTGCGCTGCCGTACAGAGTTGTCGCCGCAGCTCGCCGTGCAGGGCGTCCAGGCGGACCACTCGGAGTAGCGGCACTCGTCGCGCGGCTCCAGCTGGGGCTGCAGCTTGGCGGGCATGTGGCGCCGTTCGCCATAGGCGCCGCTCACCGAATACATGTCGTCGCAGCGCTGATAGCAGCGATCCATGCGCACCAAGTGCTTGGGGCAGGGCTTGCCGCCGTATTTGGGTGTGCGCAGGACACGGCGTGTCCGCAGCTGTACGCCCTCGCCGCAGCTGGCGTTGCAGCTGTGGGCAATCCACTCGGAGACCATGCAATCGACGGGCAGCGGCTTCTCCGGGCTGAGGCGCTCGATCTGCAGCTCCTGCTTGTGGCGGGGCAGGCGGCAGGTCTCTTCGCACTCCTCCTTCGACTTGAATTTGTTCTGATTCGTGTCGCAGCGATCCGCCCAGTAAATGGCGCACTGATCACTCACGTGGTCGTAGTACCAGAAGTTGGCCACGTCGCTGTCTCGACAGTGGCTCACGCGCAGCGACTCGTAGCAATAGGTGGGCACAATCGTATCGCAGCTGGGATTCGTGCAGTTGACCACCTCGATGAGTTTGATGTGGCGACAGGGATCGGTGCCGTCATCCGAGGGATCGTGCACGCCGTACACTTCGTTGTTGTTCCACACTTTGCGCATGCGACGGCGCTGGCCGGTGCCGCCACAGGGTCCCAGGCAGGGCGAGAAGTCCGACCAGGGCGAGACGCCGCACACTGGCGGTATATAGTCCTCGCTGCGCTGACTGAAGCTCTGAAAGTTGCGGAATAGCGAACGCTTCTCCGCATTGCCATCCTCTCCAGCGCCCTCCGCCTGGCCCTCCTCCGGCTCACCCTCGCCGTTCGCCTCGTTGCCTATGTCGCCGCCACAGTCGATGGCCTCGCAGACTCTGGTCTCTTGCAAGCGCGCCTTGCTCGCCTTCTGGCACTTCTTCTTGGCCCGCCTGTTCAGGTAGTGCCGGGTGCGCACCAGCTCGCCCGTGCCACAGGTCACGGTGCACGAGGACCACTCGCTCCACTCGGACAGGCCGCACTCGGGATCCGTGCTGGGCTGCTCTGCCTCGGGCTGCGCGCCCTCCGCGGCCTCCTCGTTGAATGTGGCGCACTTGCGTCCCATGCAGTTCTTCTCCTCACGCAAGGCATTGTTGCATCTGTGACGCTGCGGAGTTTGAGAGTGTGAGGGATTTGGCTTATTTACAGTCGAGGTTGCTCTTACCATGGCTAGCGTTGGGTTCCTAAACTCGCGCGTTCTGTACTGTTTGCCAGGACCGCATTTGGTGCTGCACTCATCCCAACGTGTCCAGGCGGTTGTGCCACACTCCATAGGCAATTGCTCCGCTGGGAAAGGGAGAGGAAGAAGGAGAAGAGATTTTATAGAGGGTGAAGCTGCAGATTAAATTAGAACTTACCATCAGGTATTTCGCAATTCTTTTCATAGAGACGACGCCTGTTTATGTGCAAAGTAGCCAAGGGCTTCATTTCGGCGCCTGTGGGATCGTAGAAGGGAGAGCGCGGATCATTGGGAAAGTTGGACTTGATGCGACGCACAACGTCGGGTGGCACTTGCGGCTGATCGGCAGACTATGAAGGCAGATGAAAAGGTATTATATTAGATATAAATACTAGCTAGGTGGATAGATAGACTGACCATGTAGGAGGGACCGCTGTCGGTGCCCGCATCCCAGGGATATAGATTGTGCACCTTGTTCTCCACCCACGAGCAATTGGGCAAGCATAGCTCTAGCCCAGACACGCCCACAATCCAATCGGGCGACGGATCAACCATGGAGACCAGCGAGATCAAATGGTGATTGGAGTCGACGCGGAAGACAGCAAACGTCTTGCCCGTCACATTTGGATAGGCAATGCCGCGCGCCTTGATAATCGTTCGAATGTGCTCGCTCTGGTCCTTCAGCTCGCTCTCCAGTGTGCGCGTCGAGCCGTGCTCGGCTACCTCGCGCAGGCCCTCGCTGGCCAGCTCGCCGTACTGCCAGAAGCGATAGTCGATGGTGTGCGAGGCGCCGATGATGTCGCTGAACCTCGTGCGCCAGCTGTTGGCCGGAAAGTCCTTGGGATGGGTGTGCCGCGACCATTTGCCCTCGAAGGTTAGCTGGGAAAAATGGGTAAATGTAAGGGCTGCCAACTGTTGGCGGTATCGTTCCGGACTTCTGCTCACCTCATACTTGGCCTCATCGCAGGCACAGCATGGATCCACAATGCTGGGCTGCGTATTGATGTCGTCCACTTCCTCCTCGCACATGCGCTTGGTCAGCAGCCCATCGTCCATGAACCAAACATCGCGATGCTGCATCACTGTCGCACGTATCAGCACACAGCCCTGGCCCGCCATGGTCGGAGCTGCCCAGACGACGTCCACGTGGGTTTTCAGATTCGTGTTCGTGTTCTCCACGACATTGGGACAGCGTGGACTGAACCGTGTCTCCGACAAGTCGATCAGCTCAAAGGCGCCCATTGCATTCGGATCGCTCTCCGCAGCGCCCGACTCGAGCTCCAGGGCGAGCATAAAGCTCACAAACGATAGACCCGAATAGGCGCTCAGCGAAACTACGGAAGAGGTGAAGGGAATTGAAGCTGGCTATAGTTCGAGTTGTTGGCATTGCTTCACTCACCGTTGTACTTCTGGCCGGGCACATAGCTCTGGGCATGGCCCGCCACGGACACGACGAAGTTCTCATCCACGGGCGACTTTGCTGCGGTGGCTCCCTGTGGCACACGATTGCACGCCTCGCTGGCTGGCAAGCAGCAGGTGGTTGCCAATAGAATTGTGATGCATACGATTCTCATCTCTATGAATTACTTGTTCTGCCTCTCACTCTCTTACTCTCTGTGTCTCTGAGTTTCCCTCTTGGTTGCTACAATTAAAACGCCATTAATTATGTGTGCTATACTTAGTTAAGGTGCATCAATTGAGGGATTGTTGTATGTGTAAGGCAATTGTAAACTTGGAGAAGGGGTATATTAGTTTTCCCTACACTCAACACTTCTATATTCAACATTTTGATCTTATATAATAATGCTTTAAGCTGGCTTAATATTTAGATTAAATGATCTATTTTTAGATTTACATTCCTATTGCGTTGATATGCGGATATTATTATAGCTGCTTCCATAGCTCGTTTAGATCATTAATTGGCTTGCGCGTCTAATCATTAGTATCCAATGTCAATGACACATAGAGCCATAGAATATGCGCCATGAATTGCAATTGCTCTTGACATTGCAAGAATAATCTACAGAGTGGAAATATTATTCATAGAGAGAGCTAACAATCAATTGTAAAAGCGAAAGCGGATATTGGAACGAAATATATGTGTATCATTGAGGCATACATGTGTAATACTTGAAGAGATCTCTGGAGGTAGAAATTTAGTTGTATACAAGATAGAGATATATAAATTAGAGCAATAAATTAAATGATTAAGAAGAAATACTAAAAGAAGGTTACTTCAAAAAGCGAACCCAATCAGAAGTAAACCCCGCTTCGATTATCAGCTCTTTTACAACTCTTCGAAAAGTAGATTACTCTATGTATGTCTATTTCTCATACAATTTTTATCCATACTATAATCTGTTGGTTAGCTTACCCCAACCATTTAATAGGGCACACACGAGAATCCCTCTCGGACTAAATCATGGGCCACATCAGAGGCGACGTCACTGATTAAACTCAATTGAAAAATTGCAAAAATGAAAAGAGAAAATAGAGAACAAGCCCAGCGCGTAGCAGGGAAATCAATTGCAATAGAAAAACGTCTGATTAAAATCACTTTTAGGGTTTCGGCTGTGGCATTACGACCTCTCTAGATCCAATCACTTGGTAACTTACATGCACTATTGCCAGTCCGGAATATACATAAGCAAATATATTGATTTTATTTGTCATAGATTGTGTGAGAAAACGTTTTGCTGTCATCAACAAATTAAATATGTTTTTAATATTGGAGCATATTAGCTAGCGACTGTGATTAGCTTTTCATATGATTATTCACAATGTATTCGCCTTACACTCACACTCACATTCACATTCAGATTGAGATTGACGTCTGTTCCGTTGGGCGCTCGAAACGCAACTGAAATGCAAATTGCACGAGCTGCTTTTAACGACTCAATTTTCAATTATTTTTACCGAGCTGCAGCCGCTCGTGAGGGGCGGAGCTCCATTGAGTGGGTGGCCAGAGAGCGGCGATTCTCTAGTTGTTGTTGACGTGCTCCTGCCTCGCATTTGTTTATGTTTGCGTTTTTGTTTTTATCGCGCTATTCTAGACAAACCCGGGCCGAAGGCTGCGAATCGAGGCACTTGCAATTGGCACAGTGGTTCAAAGTTGAGTATAACTGTGCAAAAATTGAAAGAGTTATGCCAAGAATTAAGCTTACAGTTTATTCAAGATTAAATCTAATACAGAAATATATATTAATCCTGATCTATATCTTCGTAAGCAAAGCAGGCTTTCTATTCATTGCCAGTTTACTCTGCTAATTCCGAAATATCTGAAATCTATTTAATTCATTTAACATCAAACATTACACCGCAACGTTTCGTATTTCGAAATTATATGATTTTTATTTTCTAGATCTTTTTCACACATATGCAGTCAGTCGGTTATTTTCGGAACAGTAATTACTTAGTTAAGCCTGAGAAGCATCTGCCCTATAGCCAATATGCAAAATTCCGCTGTTTTATCACGTGGTAAAGCGAAATCGTTCAATTAACTCTGTGATTCATCAACTAACTTTGATCTTATATATAGCAACATCCAAAGCAACCGAAAAAAGTGGAGTAGCCAAAACCACGGAGCCCAAGAAGAATGAACAATCTAGGAGCCAGTCCGTAAGTAGAATAGCAGAGTAGGAAGAAATCAAATTAAAAATGAATAATAATGGTTATTTTATTGCAGTTGAACAGACCACCGATAAAACGTATACCAGTTCTTAAGAAGTCGGCTCTCGGCCTCTCGGTTGTCCATAAAACGAATACCAATAATAATAATAATACTAAAAATGCCAATAATAATGAAAATGATGATAATGATACTACTAAAGCAACAGCTAATACTAGTGATGCTAATAGTAATCAAAGCATAACTGATAATAGCAACAACAATAATATTGATAACAATAATACAGAAAATAAAACTTTGGCCCTGTCGCTGCCCACATCGCCGGGTCTTAGCGTAGGCTCAGCCACATCTGCCACCAGTATATCGCGCCGCACGGATGCCGACTCGGAGGATGCCCCGCCCAAGACCAAGACGAAGTTTACCCGGCCGCGCATGAATCAGCTGACAGAGCAGCGCATCAATCGCTTACGCTCCTCTGCAGCAGATGGGATCAATTGTAAATTCCTTACTCTTATTTTCCTAATCTATTTAACATATTCTCATCCCTCTCCCTCTCTCTACCTCATCTGTAGTATCGGTGGTGAGATCGCATTCGGAAGCGCCCGCATCGCACGCCAAAAGGAAAGGTGATCAAACATCCAGTCAAACATCGATTTGTGTGCGCATGCAGGAAGATGGAGTTGAGCCATTGCCGTGTCCACAGGCCCTGGAGACGCTCCAGAGGGGACTGGAAGACATGCAGTCCGAGTTTATGAGAAAGGCGGCAGACTTTCGTGGAAAAGGCCATGGCTATACCTACAAGCTGGTTGCCATTGTGCACAACGACAATTGCAAGGTGCTCGTGCACCGGGATGACTTGCTGGCCATGCCCAAAAATCTGCGTGAGTTTCGATTGGCATTCACTCACCCAATTACCCAAGCTCATGCCAATTCAAATCCTTCCACAGCTGCCCATTCGCTGAATGATTTCAGAAACCTGTGCCATAATACACTCAAGGAGGGCGTCTGGTTCATTTTCGAGCAGATCGCATCGGTGCAGTCGGAGGAAAACAGCCTGCTGACAGTGCGCCAAGAAGAACTACGCCGTCAGCTGGATGGGCATCTGGTAAGTAAAAGCTGCTACTGTATGTAAAGCTGTACCAAATAAAAGTAAACTGAAACTCTGCAGAACAACAAGCTGGCTCTCGTCGACAATGAGCTGATGGAATTGTGTAAGGCTGCTGGCAGCGACGAATCGGCAAAGCTAAGGGCTCAGATATACGAGCTAACTGAAGTGAACAATGAGCTGGTGTCGGCCAATTCGAAACTGGAGATGGATGTGGTGGACATACGCAGGCAGCGAGACGAGCTCAAAACATCGCTTGAGATATCCCAGAAGCGTAGCGACGATCTCGCTTTAGATCTGGCCAATAAGAATATTTTGCTGGTGGAGAAAGCAGGTGCTCTGGAGGACGTGATGGCCGAAGTTAAAAATCTAAAGAAAACGTAAGCCACACAGACCAATGAAATCTCGATATCAAAACTTTATTCAATAAATAATCCCCACAGCAATAAGATATTGCAGCAGCGCCAAAGAGAGAGCGACAACAACATAGACTGCATTCGGCTATCGAAAGAGAAGCTCTTGTCCCGCATTGAGGATTTGGAGAAGCAAGTGCTGGAGGCGCAGAGCGAATGCTTGATACTCCAAAAGAAAGTGGATGAGCTGATGGAAGATCTGGCCGAGAAGGAAACCATCATGGCCGAGCAGAGGGCACAGCTGCAGGACCAAGAGCTCACCAAGACGCTGCGGTCGGAGTCGAGTAACGAACCCGACCCGGATATGGAACAGTTATGGTAAACGGAATTTCTGCAATGTGCTTTCAGTACAGTAAACAGTCCTTTTTGTGTGATAGTGATCTACAGGCAGAGCTGGAGCGTCAACAGATGCGTCTGGCCGAGCAGGAGCAGACGGAGCAAGCGCTGCGCATGGAATTGGAGCAGAAACAGGATGAGCTAAACAAGGCAGAGCTCAAAGTCAGCCGGCTAGAGGAGCAGAACGAACACCATCGCCAGGTGCTGGCCGTGCGCGGTGAGCGCATCAACTATCTGGATCAGGAAATGAAGCAACGTGAACTGGAGAGCAATCGCAAATTAAATGAAATTATGGCTCAAACCAGTGATAAAAATACGCTCATTACACAGGCAAATAAGCAACAACGATTCGAATTGATATCACTTTATAAACACCTTTTACCTTTTACACACACAGATGACCAACGAGCTGGCAGCAACAAATGAGCAATTCCAAAATCTCTGCTCCAAGCTGACCGCCAAGCAGACAAAGCTACGTAGCCAGGAGCACGTCATCAAGCTGCTGGAGGAGAGCAATGAGCGCAGCGTCAAGCTTCACACGAAGCTGGGCGAGAAGAATGCCATGCTTAAGGACGAGCTCGATCACTTGCGGCGCACTGTGTAAGTCATTTATATATATGTATATATATTTATATTTGTATATCCATATGGCGTGACGGCTCGTAACAAGTACGTTAGATACGAAAGTGGTTCATTGAGCTTTAGCTAAATGCCTGAAACCAGATTTCTATTAGATTAAAATCAATTCAAATTATATGTGCAAATCTCTAAATTGTTATGGATTATTAAAACATATCTAACAGCCACGGGTTTGACACTATTTCAATATAAATTCTGCTTAAATATAATATTTAAATTTTCGCAGCTTCCTGTTTAGGTGTTTTTGCCATGTTACAAGTTTTTTTTTCTTATTTTTTGATAATTTGATTAAACAGAAACCGGATCATTTGGCTCACGCTTCAAACATCAGGTTAGATAGAAAGAATGACGCTATCAATTGATAAACAACATTTGCATATTAAGCAAATAACATCTCAATCATAAATTCAGCCTAAGAACTTTTAAGCTGTCAGTTTGGATGACTATTTCGGGTCCATATTAATTTTTTTGTAAATAAGCTTTAACGGGTTCGAGCCTTTTGTATAGCAGTTGATTTTGCCGCCTTTTGCCTTGCCTCTAGCAATATTTAATTTACAATTCTTCTTCAATGCCTTCTCGTCGCAGAAATAACCTAATGTTAGCCAACGATGTAAACGCTGCTCCAGATGTTCCAGAACTTGTACTGGAATAAACCCAAATAGGACAAATGTATTTAGCAAAATTAAAAAAGTATTAAATGGTAAGCGCGGCACTTGTTACGAGCACTGAACACTGAACAGCAATCAAACCTAATCCATTTCATCTCTCCCTCTCTCTCACATTTGCAGTAATGTTTTTATCAAAATTATAATTGGCAACAATGGGCGGAATATATTTGAGCCAGTGCCGGCCCATGAAGTGTTAAGACTGCAGCTGCCATATCAAGAATAACAACAACAAACGCGAAAAAAAGAAACAACAACAATCTCTACATTATATTGTGTACTTATATATATAACTATATATGTATATTTATATATATAGATAGATGTACATTTATGTAGAACTTTGCGATAATTAAATAGTTATTTGTTCACTTCTCTCGTATTTTGTGCATATATTTATATATAAATACATTGCAGTCAGTCATGTATATTTATTAAAACCCTATACCGTACATATGTATATATTCTCAACAAAAAAAACCTTGTAGAGTAGAACACCCACTTGTGTAATTACCAATAGATCAGCTTTATGTTTTGTGCATGTGTATATAAGAAAATATTCTTCAGTGCATCGGCGGCGCATTAAAGAAAACTTTCAATTAAACGATTTTGCATTTTGAGAGCAGCAGACTCGCTTCTCTTCTCTCGCCTCAACTAGATCCAACTGGATAGATAGGGGTATACACCAATACATAAGCAACAAAAATCATAGCATAATCACCATCAGAGACAAGCCCCCGTCCGAGAGATGCTGCGAATGTTTCTTTTCGGTTTATCAGTTAGATTTCGAATTAGTCGCGTCGCGTTGCTCGTTCCAGTTGGAGGTGGCTGGCAGTGCTCATCGCTTACCAAGTGAATTCCATTTTAAGGTAGAACCCTAAAAGTGTTACGCGAGATTGACTTGAGAAACTGTTAAGCTACTATTTTATTTGATTCCAATGTGAATTTCTGTAAGTTTAACTTTTAATTTGAGCTATTACTTTGAAAAAAAAAAAATGCAAGCCTAATTTATGAAAATTGCTTTTACTGTGCAAAAGTGATTTTTTATTTAAATATTATTAAAATTAAAAATAATGCTATAGTCAATGTTGGATTGTAATGGGAGATTTCTCTTTGATCTACTTCTATCTAAAGTGCAAACGAATTTAATTTAAAAAAACCTCGCTTCTCTTTTATCTAGTTTTAGCCAAGACATTTTGTCTGGACAAGTGAGAAGGATCTAAAAACTATTAAATTAGTACAGTGCGCAATGTATATCATCATTCATAGTTGGCCTTAATAACCCAGTCTTAGCACACATTTGATTTAGTATCCTTATCTCTATTCAAGCGTTCTGTTTGCATTTGGCTAAAAATTGTCTGGTACCCAAAATGTTTTGGAAATTCTCTAGTTTTATGATAATTAAATAACATTAAATACACAACTCTCACTACTAGCTTCAACAGCCTGGGCATGCCTCAATGCGTGTACATTGAACTTGAGCAACATTTTCGATAAGGGTTTATTGCCCAAAACACACAAACGCTGTTGCACCCATCACCAATCTGAGGAAATGATGAATGAGTTTCACATAGAAAAGTTGTAAACAATTGTCAATGAGATGATTCTGCATAGGGAAGAATACCATGCTTCCTTATGGATCCTAAGAACTTTTTAATAAATGATTCGTTTCGAATCTATGTCTCTGTAATTCAACCTTAATTGATTTATAGCTGAACTGACCCGTGGCTTAAGTCTCTTATCTGTGATGCAATAATTCATTTAATTCATTTATAATTCATTGCAATTTGTGAGTTTGCAATTAATTTTGTGCAGAGTATTTCTCATATCTATCGTTTTCTGTTCGCCTGGTATTAGCCGTTAGCCATATTTTCGTTAAAACGCCACAGCAGTTTTATTTGTAAATTTTAAGACCGCACAAAAGTATGCAATAGTTTTTGTCATACAAATTTTTGTCTGCCTATTTTTAATTGGCCCCTGCACATATTTATTCGTCTTGCGTATATAAATATTAAGTTTTATTATTATTAATAATGTTTATTGAAGCCATGCGAGGTACACCAGTAACCCATTTGTACATATATAAAAAGTGAAATGTAATTTTATCATATTTAAATTCTTGGCGCGCACAAAAGTATGCAATGGTTTTTTAAATAAAAATTTAGTAAGCAATAAAAGTATTTGTGTGCACAATTAAGCTGCACTTAATACACGTATTAAAATAATAACTTGTAGTCATAGCTATCAAAATATTTGACCTTTTTCTCCCGCTCATTAATTGTTTATCAGCATATCTGAATCTTCTGCTAGCTCTAATTGCAGGCTTATCAACTTGAGGCAAATCTCGTACGATATTAGAGAGCACAGATACAATGTTTCTCTTATCGTAAACCCTATATACTAATTGATAGGCGCGTGTGCCCTATAAAAGACCTATTCATTCCAGCACATGCATTGTAGTTCCTGCATCGCTCATCGCTGGTCGTACATAAATATGGATAGCAAAGAATTTGCAAAGCTTAAACGAATGGATGAGAGTCTCAAGTTGACGCAGGAGAAAGATTGTGTGGTCTACACCTCCGAATTGGTGAGTTGAGCTTTAGGTGTATCAAGTGCTACGATGAATCAAATATAAATTGCGCTGCACAGCTGGAAATGGATGAGGAGGGAGCCGATCAACCCATGGCTGCCGAGCGCGATACTTGGAGCAAAGGCGTTGAGTTTCTGTTTTCCTGCATTGCGCTGAGCGTGGGTCTGGGCAACGTTTGGCGTTTTCCATTTATAGCTCTGGAGAATGGTGGCGGTGCATTCCTGATACCCTACCTGGTGGTCTTGCTGCTGGTGGGTCGTCCAATTTACTATCTGGAGGTGATCATCGGACAGTTCAGCAGTCGCGGCTGCATTGGCGCCTTCGATTTGGCACCAATTTTCAGAGGTACACTGAAAACAAAAAATGAATAGCATTAAATACATATATATTATTTCTTTGGACTTTATAAATATCAAATGCATTTCAATTATATTTTACAGGTGTTGCCTATGGCCAGGTGTATTCCACAGCCTTGGCTACAACATACTACGCCTGCATCATGGCTCTGACAATCCGCTATTTGGTGGTCTCCTTCTCCGAGGTGCTGCCCTGGACGTATTGCCTCGCCGAGTGGGGTGCTCAGTGTGTAGCAACCGGAGCCACGGCCAATGATAGCAGCAATTTCAGCACCTCTCTGCAGGGCAAATCATCAGCTGAGCTTTACTTCACGTAAGTGTCAAATATTTCAGTCAAGGATGGGATACTCTGACTCATTGATTCTTCTCTCCACTTGCAGTCGGACTGTTCTACGTGAACCGGATAATTTGGATGAGGGCCTCGGCACGCCCAGCAAGGAAATGGTCGTATGCCTAATGGCCACTTGGATCATCATAGCCCTCACACTTGTCAAGGGCATACGCAGCTCGGGCAAGGCATCCTACTTTCTGGCACTCTTTCCCTATGTGATTATGCTGATCCTACTGGTCAGAGCGCTGACATTGCCAGGTGCCTGGAATGGCATAGTCTACTTTATACAGCCGCAGTGGAGCCAGCTGCTCAATCCGCATGTCTGGTATGCGGCCATCACCCAAATGTTCTTCTCCCTGGCCATTTGCTTTGGCACACTGGTCATGTACGCGTCCTTCAACGATTTCAGCAAACGTGTGAACAAGTGAGTCCAAGAATTGTTTGAGTATAAATTTGAGTATAACGGATGTGAAAATCTTGCCATGAATCGCCACAGAGATGTCATCATAATCACTACCATAGATTCTTTTACGTCCATTTTGGCTGGCTGCATCATCTTTGGCATTCTCGGCAATTTGGCCCACGAGACCAATGTGACGGACATATCGAAGGTGGTGAAGGGAGGCGCCGGCTTGGCCTTCATCTCGTATCCGGAGGCCATAGCCAAGTTTAAATATTTTCCGCAAACGTTCGCAGTACTCTTCTTCTTCATGCTGTTAGTGCTGGGCATTGGCAGCAACATCGGCATGGCCACCTGTGTGATCAATGTGATCAAGGATCGCTTTCCCCATCTGCAGCACTGGCAGCTCGCTATAGGCGCCTCTATCGTTGGCTTTCTTTGCGGACTGGTCTACATGACGCCCGGCGGACAGTTCATACTGAATCTGGTGGACTTCTATGGCTGTACGTTCATTGCGCTGGTGATGGCCATAGCTGAACTGTTCGCCTTCTCCTGGGTCTATGGGGTCAAGCGGCTGTGCAGCGATATCGAATTCATGCTGAATGTGAAGACCGGCTTCTATTGGCGCATCTGCTGGGCCATAATGGCGCCGGGCCTAATGTTCCTGGTGCTCGTCTATATGCTGGTCAGCTACGAGCCGCTCACATATAAGGGCGTCGAGTATCCCGAGGCAGCCTACATGGCTGGCTGGCTCATCTGGGGCCTGGGCGTGGCACAGCTGCCCTTCTGGGCGCTCTACACAATCTACCAGCAACCGGGTCACAGTTTCCTCGCCGTAAGTCAAATTGCACCCTCACAATTTCCCCTCGTGCTATAAAAATTCTCTTCTGCAGAAATTTCGACTTGCTCTGCAGCCCACCAAAGATTGGGGGCCACGTCAGCCCCAAAAGCTGCAGGCATATCTGCTGCATCGCCAGAAGGTCGTGGAATCTAAGCAGCGGCGCGGCAACTTCTTTTTTGACAACATTTTTGGTTAGTTCGGCAGATAAAGCGTTACCAGAGCGGGCTCAAAGCAAAGCGAAACCATTAAAAATACTCTTGTACGCCTCACTTTGTTTAAATTAAATAGAAAATAATTCAATACTGCCAAGTCTCTAGCTTTTAAACTATGAAAAGATAACAAAAATAATATTTGAATGCATATAGAGTTTTATTATAGTTTAATTATATATATTATTATTAGGCTTTAGCATTTTAGCAGCAATTTTTTAACTATATATTTGATCTTACTTATGCTAAGTAATTATTTTAAATTTAACTTAAGATACTGTTCATAAAATGTTTAAAAATAAAAGGGAAAAGAAATGTATAAACTGTGCGTTAAATAAATAAATATGAATGCAAATAAAAAGCTGGACAAATATTTAAAATTTATAATTATTATTATTTTTGATATTTTATTTATATGATTTCTATAGTTTTTCAGTGGATAATACAAAAATTAATAAGAGGGAAAGAATGAAAGCAAATATAAAAAATTTGAGGTAAACTTAAAAAAATAAAATAAAATGTATGCATTTATAAATTTTACTTATAATAAAAAATGAACTTTTTAAAATGTTAAAATATTTTCAAATAATCTAAAATTTAATTTAGCTTACAACGTAACTGTATAAATTATTGTTATTATATTATTTATGATTCTGCTGCCATTCGAATGCATTCGAATAATTCACATAGTACATTAAATCTCTTGTTAATTATCACAGCACTTTTTGATTTCTTTTATTATTATTGTGCAAAATTAGATTTATGCCAAAACGAAAGTTGAAAATGTCTTGAACTCAGGTATTTACAGCTCCTGACTTTTGCATAAGAACTAAGCTAATTATTATTGTTTTTCTTTTCATTTTTTCTATTTATTTTAAATTTATATATTATGTTCAGCTGCAGCTAAGCAAATTGCTTAAATTATTGAATAAAATTAGGTTAGAAAGATTTTTATTTAATTTATTATTATTATTTTTGGCTTGCTTTTTAAGATATTTTTGAACTGGCTAAAACGTGGCTTTAGTAGAGCTGTTTATTTGTTAAATTATTTTTATATCTTTAATAATTTTGTTGGCAGATTTTTGTTAGATTTGGGCAATGTATTCACATTATATTGTAGCACTTGCTTGATTTTTGTTCTTTTTTTTTAATAATTTCTTTTTTTTTTTTGGTTTGATTAGTTGTTGAAACCCAATAAAATGTGATTTCCTTTTACTACATGTATGTATGTATATCTAGTCGGTATACAAACTAATCAACACTAATGAATTAAGAATTGACTTGTAATTTCATAGCCTACATTTCAGCGCATAGTTTTAATAAAAATTCAGCGTAACTTGTCTATATATATGTATATATATATATTTAAGTATATATATATATATGTATATATAGAGTATATACTTAAGTAGAATTGAAAATCTATATGCGCGGCTAAAAAATGGAAGTTGTATTGTTTTGCTTTGTTTTAACGTTGTCTTCTTTTCACTAGATATGGTCCTATTTGTGTTGCGTCTATATTTATAGAAAAAGTTAACATATGTACGATATGAGTTACCTTGAGTATATTGTCTACTTGCTAATGATATTGCCTTGTGTGTGTGTGTTTCTGTGCCTATTAGAATTTAAAAGTTGCTTGTGTTGGCTTTATATATATATAGATATATATATAAGTATGTATATCCCATTAATAATTAGTTAAAAATCGATTCACTTATTAACATTTGCCTTTTTTCAGTTTACAGTTTTCAGTTTCCCATCTCTATTTACAGCATAGAAAAATAGTTGTTTTTATTTGCTCTAGAAAGTCTGTATTGGTCGATAGAGTCCCGTGTAGCCGCACAGACGGGCACGCAGTGCGGGTATTAAAAATGCGGCCAATGAAATATCCTTCAAAAGTTCCGCACACTCACACACCAACAGATACATTTTGTCGCCCTTCTGTGAGGTGCTCTTGTGCAAGGCAATGCGCCGAAGGCCTGCAGCGCGAGGTAAATATCTGTGAAACAAACAAAGATATTCAAAAGTGAGTATAGATATAGTTAAAGAATCAGATACAGATACAGATACAGATACAGATACAGATACAGATACAGATACAGATA